AAATGATACACCAGAGCCTGTGAGGAATTCTGAGGTACTGTACTCGGTACTGTAGTCAACCCTACTGGACTGGGCAGCTCCTTGCTTTGTAAAGACTAAGAAAACAAGATTGAGTGACCATGAAGGTTCAGACTTCACACTGGGAGTGAGGAAGCCATCAAGCAGGCTTCCCAGCCTCGCTCAGTCCCTCAGCATTTCTCGAGACTAATAGGACTTGGGTGATAGTTTTAGTCTACTGTGTAGAGTATTGTCAGCTGACAAATAGTTGAATGGATCGCGAGCAATTAACTGAATGAAAATAAAATTGGAATTGGAAAAAGTTCAACATCTTGGAAGTTCAACATCTAGGAGCCAACCTTGATTGAGATTTGAAATGCCAAAAGTGTCATGTGGAGCGGAGGATTGCTAGGGAGGAGAACAGCTTCACTTTGTGGTACATGACAGGGTGTAGGAAGGCGGAGACAACAGGCAGGAGACTCTTCCTGCTTTTCCTCTCTTACTTCATCCTGGCCATTCCTTGTAGCCAGCAGTAATTGTTTAGGTTGTTTCCTCATCCCTGATGGCAGCTGCCACAGGGTTATATCTTTGGTGGTGTAATTAGCGAGCTTAAAGTGGAGACATGGTATCACCAAGGGCGCTAAGAGTCCACCATGACATATTCATTGTATTGTTGGGAAACTGGGCCTCTACCGGATACTCCGTTCAAATGAGTTTCCTGTGGGTGAGAATGACAGTTTTGGGAGGGGTCTTTCTCCGAAGAGCAGTTACTACCAAGCTGCTCCATTTCTAAGTGAAGGTTGTTAACCCAGGACCAGGAACTGTTGATGGTTCTTCCTGGGAGCACAGCAGAATCTTTGTCGTTTTCCTATGACATTCACCTCACTTAAGCCTCTAAGAGCCCCAGGAGGGATGGCCTGTTTAAGGCAGGAAGTCGGGCGGTGGTGGCGCAAGCCTTTAATCCCAGCACTTGGGAGGCAGAGGCAGGCAGATTTCTGAGTTAGAGGCCAGCCTGGTCTACAGAGTGAATTCCAGGACAGCCAGGGCTACACAGAGAAACCCTGTCTCGAAAAACCAAAAAAAAAAAGAAAGAAAGACAGGAAGTCCCACATCCCTTTCCCTGGGCTTCCCCTTCTGTTAAATCTGTAATCAGAAAAAACAAAACAACCTGATTCCGAGCAACCTTGAAAGGAGACTTGGTTTTGAGGTATTCTTCCCAAGGCTGTGGTGTGATCTTGTGGCTGCCCTGTTAGAATCTATTCTGGTGACAGAACATTTTGTAATTTTCCCTAATAAATAGTACTGGATAAAACCTGCTCTCTCTCTCTCTCTCTCTCTCTCTCTCTCTCTCTCTCTCTCTCTCTCTCTGTGTGTGTGTGTGTGTGTGTGTGTGTGTGTGTGTGTAAGCATTCCTGCCATGAGAGCATGTTCCTTGGCATCCTATTCTAGGACTTTCTGTCTCTCCCTTGAGACAGGGTTTTTCACTGAAAAGTCCCTGGAGGGTCCCTGTCCTGAGGGCGTTGGTTGGGTTTCTACAGTCATTACTTGATGTCTCTTCTTAGTTGCTCTGTGTCTTCCCTGCACAACTATGATCACCATGGAATATTTAGGGTCACAGTTCACTCTCTGAATCTACAAGGAGACTGGAGACTTTTACTCATTTTGTGCTCAAACTCCCGGAGGAATTGCAGCATGACAGTCATCAGTGATAGCGCCTCACTCATTGGTAGCTTGAAAAAAGAAAAGCCTTACTCTGGCTGCCCTCTCTATCTTTGGCCTTTGTTAAGCCACGATCCAGCTCGTGGAAGTCAGAGCTGGGCTCTTCTGCACTCAGTGCACAATGCTGAACGAATCCAAGAAGTCCAGCTGCTGCTCTCTAAGTTTCTAGAAAGCCACTCCCCCCAACTGTGGCTTCTCCAGCTTTGCCGCCTGGTGGGATAGTGCTGTGAACTGTTTAAACCTTCTTTTTAAACTTTCACGAATAACAGGTAAGTGTTCTCATAACAAAGGAGTGAAATGATGATTGGTACTAATTTAAAAATATTTTATTTAACATGAAGTAGCCATAGATTTAAACATGAAAAACAACTTATCGCCAACAGTTTTAGCTTTATTATATAGATATTAATTGATCCAATTATTGGGCTGGTGGCATCTGTTTTTATAGAACTTCGATATCTGGACCTCCCTCCAATTCCAACAATGCTTTTAAACATGTCAGTGGGAGCGAAGACTAAAAGACATATTTTCTCCTAAAACTAGAAACAGATTAATATAAATTTCTAACAATGAGAAACAGATGAGAAACATTGCATTGTTATGCAACAATGACATTTTTGCCTCTTTTTGAGTTTTTTATTTTTATCTTGATAAAGAACTTTAATTTTAGTGTGTGTGTGTGTGTGTGTGTGTGTGTGTGTGCGCGTGCCTGTATGTGTACCTGCGGTAGTCAGAGAACAACTTGCTGGAGTTAATTCTCTTCTTCCATGATGTAGAACCCGGGGATTTAACTTGAGTTGTCATGCAGATGTTGGCACCAGATGTCTTTATCCACAAAGTCATCTTGCTGGTCCACATGCTACATTTGAAAAGACATATTTATTCTTCCTTTGAGAAAGTAAAGATTCTCCTTGATGTTTGATACTCACGTATATCCAAGAGGCTACATGCTGAGCGAAGACGTTCCCCAGAGTAACATTAGGCATGACAGTTGCCGTTCTCCAACCAGTGGTCCAGCCTTTCACTGATGTTTTCATTGCTCTGCTTTGTGAATTGAGCTTGTTTGTCACTTAAACTGTCCTCAAACTTGCTATGGTAGGTAGGATGTTGTTGAAGTCACAATTGAACTTGGGCTTCAGCCTCCTGAATGCTGGGATTACAGGCATGGGTCACCACTTCTGACCATTTCTATTTCTGTAGATCCCAGTTCTTGTGCTGCTTCATCACCTTAGGTATTTTCATCTAGCGGACACTTTAATTGGCTGATGAGTAAGACACTGTCGTACATCCAGTGATCTGTCACAGGAAAATGCAGTGTCGTTTATTTCTCCCTGAGATGAGTCACGTTTTTACATTTGCCTCATGTTTAGATTCTCCTAGCCCAGAGCTAGCATTCATTTTATCCCTTATCAATGGCTATGCTACATAAACGGTACTATATAAACATGCCTACCGTGTAGCAGGCTCTCCACTGAATAGGCTCCATTCTCACAAAGCTACCAGAAGGAGGGGAAGGCAGAAGGTATGTTACTAAGTGCCATTCAGTCAAGTCTGTGGATGAGGCTCAAAGGAAAGTTCTGTGGGTGTCTTGGGAGGGAGGGCATCTTGGCATAGATTGGTCTGAAAATGCGTCTAGGAAAGTGATTAATTTGCTGGGAATAAAGATGTGGTAGCCGAAACAAAAATGCCTTGATTTCTTCTGCTGCTACACCACAGTCATCACTCATCTGGTAGCAGTGGAGTGGGGATTTCTCACATAGCAAACCATTGATTCTGTAGGACCAGATGCCAGACAGAGGTCCTCTAATCCAATTCCGTTCTGATACAGAATTCCCAGATATAACAGCACAGCCCAAACTCCAAGACTGGTTTCCTGAAAATGCATCTGCTAGTTCCAAGTCCTGGGTGATTTTATTTGTGCTTTCGACCAACTGACTGTAAATCATTGTTAGTACGGCTTCCTCTTTGAGTTTGGCTAATTTCCTTCAACAACTCCTGAACTCAGAGGAACAGGCTTATCAGATTATTTATTTAAAATATAATAGAAAACCTACAGATGAAGAGATGCCTAGGAGAAGGTATGGGGTCGAAGTGTGGGCTTTCATAACCCTCTGGAAGTCTCTACCTGTTCATCTGTCAGAGAGCCCCTGGGACCATTCCTTTGGTTTTTTTCTCATTGTATAGGCTTAATTGCCTATACAATGTTGTGTGAGAAAACCTAGCAAGTCTGTGTGTAAAGACTTTCTTCCTCTAGGAAATGGAGTGAGCTCTCTCTGCAATGACAAGAGTTTTATGAGTGTTGATGCTGCAGGAGAAGGACAGGTAGGTCAGAGGGTTCATGCCAAGTAGCAAGATAGAAAGGTAGGAGAAGCTGATGTGGTAACTCAGACCTGGAATTCTAGTACTTACTGTGGCTGAGACAGGAGGATTGCTGCTATGAGTTCAGCATCAGCCTTGGCCACATAAAACTCTTAGCAAAGCTAACCTTAGTTACAGTGTGGAAGCCTGTCTCAACAAAGAAAGCAAAGAAGAAAGGAAGGAAGAGAGGGAAAGAAGGAGGGAGAAAAAAAGAGGTAATAAAGGAAAAAAGGCAGGGAAAATTAGAATTTCTGATAGAGTTTCTATGACTCATCTCAAGAAAGAGAAATGACAGTTTCTATGGCCTGCCTTTGGGAAGGAGTTATGAGCCAAGAACTAGGGTACAAAACCAAAATGTCACGTATCATAATTTTATAATGGGAAGGGGCCCTGGTAGGCAAACACAGTTTGGAGACATGAAATAGAGCAGTGTTTCTGGGAATCCTGGGTTATTTCATTTGGCCCAGGGCTCAGTGACTGAGGCAATGGCTAGAAGCTAGCCTCAGTTCTGTACAGATTCGTACTACCTTCTGCCTGCCTCGGCCCTGTTCTTTGTGGTAGTTTGCTTTGTGTGGTGTGCAGTGTGGACAAAAAAAAAAAAAGAATGCTTTGTCAGTACACATCTTTAAGATAGGGACTGGGTTGATTTAACAGAAAAGATCTATTAAGTGTTGTGACAGACAGCCATCAGGATGGTGTGGGGTGGGGTGAGTGGGGTGAAGTAGGATGGGATGGGATAGGGTGGGTGGGTTGGGGTGAGGTAGGGTGGGACGGGATGGAGTAGGATGGGGTGGGGTGGGGTGGGGTGGCGTGGGGACAGAAATGAAGCTTCTTCCTGCCCAGACACCTAGAATCTGCCAATGGAGTCGTGTTGTTAAAGAGAGACAGGAAGCAGCCTCTCACTTGACTGATGACATTTTGAACTCTCTCTCCAGCCTCTGACTGTGCATTCTGGAACAATGTGGACCTTGGCACTGTGGGTATTCCCTCTACTCTGCAAACTCAGCCTGGCAGGTAGGTTAGCCTTTCATGGATTGTGTAGTTCATATATTTTTGGAGAAGAATTTTTAACTTTGGAACAAAGGGACTCTGAATATCCACAGATGAACAATAGAATCCGGGCCAGTTTTAATGTATGTGTGGGCCCATGTCTGGACGCAGGCTTGCGTGTGTGTGCTGACAATAGAAATACTTTTGCATGTGAAAATGTGAAGAGATGATCTTTCATTCTTAAAGAAAGCGATGACCTCATAAAGATCCAGTGCACTCAGACATGTCCAGCATCTGGGCCACAGGCTGCATACATCCCAGGACAGCTATGAGAGACCTAGCATATTTCCAGATCATGACATCATGCCACAGTGTCAAAGGGGTAGACAGCACAAGGATAGCTATAAACACAGCCTGGCATAAAATTGTAAACTAGCTTTATGAGATAGGTTTTCCAATTGTTTTTAACTTAATTATGGTTCTCAAGAATGAACTTTTTACATGACAGTTTCTTGTGCCATTGTCAAAAGGTTCATCACACCTAAACCATGCCAACCTAAGAGCAACTTCATTTAAAACAACCTATGTTTAAAAATTAAGATTAAAAAAAAATCTCTGTGGGCTGAATATTGAAAAGCAGGGAGATGCAATTTACCAGCAACTGTTTCTTGCATGTCAAATGGTCAAGGCATGCCCCATGGCCTTTCCCAATCTTAAAGGGCCAGGAAGTGAAGTCTGCCTGTGGGTTCAGGAAGAAGAGATACTGGTTCCAAAGAACATTTACTCTCCCTTTCTGTAATACCTGTATTAAACGTCTGTGTGTGGCAAGCAACACACTCTGAACAAAGAAAGGTAGCACCATGCAAACAGCCCTGGCTGAGTGGAAAATAACTTTTGGAGCCATTTTCTTTTCTCCTGACACCTGGTGACATTTTTAATCCTGGAAACTACATATGTGATTCCTTCCACTTACTGATTTTAATACATGTTAACCAAAGCTGCCTCTTTGTCTTTGAAAGCTGGCTTTCATGAGATAACATTCACATATGCCACAGTTCTGTTAAAAACATTAGGATCAAGAGGCTCTTGGTTTTCTCAGTAGTGTGACCTATATAATGTGACCTATATCCAGTTTTAGGGCTAGAGTGGTAATGGCTCAGTTGTCAAGAATGTTTGGTGCTCTTGCAGAGAACCATAGTTCAGTTCCAGCAGCTTGCAATGACCAGGAACCCCAGCCCCAGGGGAACCCAGGTCCTGCTCTGCCCTCTACAGGTACTGGCATTTACACATACATGCCCCAACACAGGTACACATAAACACAAATCTTCAGACAATCTGATAGTCAGTTTTAGAACATTTTCTTCATCCAAAGCAGAAAGTAGAACCATTAACAGTCATTCTCCAGTTCTTTCCCCCTTTCTCAGCTATCTCCCCTCCCTACCACCCCTGGGCAACTACTAATCTCTTTTCTGGTCTGGCCCTATACGGTTGCATGTTTCTGACCTTTAAGAAGTACTTGCACTTAGATATAATTGTATATCCTTTAATGAGTCTATACTTCCTCCCCTTAACCCACACTTCTAGTGTCTTCTTCCATGTGGTTAACTTTTTTGAAGTACACAATTTATCTTTCTTTGCCTCTATTATTCCACTGTGTGTGTATTGTGTGTCTGGCTCTGTGTGTGTGTGTGTGTGTGTGTGTGTGTCTGTGTGGAGTGCATGTGAATCTAGAGATGAGAGGAAATCTTTGTCACCAGTCACCATTCACTTTTGAGATTTTTAAAGACAAGGTTTCTCACTAGCTTGGAACTTACCACATAGGCTAGGCTTGGCTTGCCTATGAAACCCGGGAATCCACATCCACGTGGCGGTATGTGCCACCATGCCAGGCTTGGGTTTTTCAAAACTAGATCAGAAAAATTGAAGGAGAATTTTACTGACTGAGCCATCTCCCAGGTCATGAATGTCTCATTAGCCTACTGTCTTTATGTTAGTAACTTCCTGCCTAGACTACTGTGGTTATTATTTCATACCTGTGTGTAGTATGTGTACTTGTTAATAAGCATGTTGGTGCATCTACATGTGTGTGGAGGCTCAAGGGTTCATGTGAAGTTCCTTTTCTATTTTTTGAGACAAGTTTTTTCACTGAATCTGGATCTCAATGACTAGGCTAGGCTGGCTGTGCAGTGAACTTCAAGGTCTGCCTCTCTGTGTCCATCCACCCATACTATGGCTAGAGTTAGAGGCACACTGCCATACCCAGACCTTTTTTGTGGATTCTGGGGATCCAAACTTAGGTCTTCATACTTGTGTATACTTGTGCAGATATATTGTTGACTGAGCCATCTCCCCAGACTGTGTAGGCTAAAGATATATGCACCTATATACAACCAAGCATAATGTAAACATGCCTCAATATAGAAATACCACACTCAAAGCATATGTGAATCCTATACACTCCCACGAGCCCCGTATACCACATACACTATACACCATACACACTGCATGCAGCAAACGCACATACACACATATAAATATATCGCTATTTTCTTTGAGTCCTGAAGATAAGAAGTGAATCAGTCAGCAAATGAGTCATTTCTTTTGGGAATATTTGGATGACCCTTAGTTCATCTTCTATGAGATTTTCCCTGTGACATTTGTGAAATATTCAGGCTGTTAACATTCTGCTTGCTGTCCCAAGGACTCCCTAGGGATGTCTTAAGTTGTGTGGGCCCTTTGTGGAATGTGTTAATTCTGCACCTTCTAATCTCCATGTAACATGGACTGCTACTTAGGTCTAGTTCAGTTCATTTTGGTCTTGTTATGCATCTAAAGTTGCAAGTCACCATCTTTGTCATGGTTTTTGGCATGAAGATAAAATTCTTACTGAACTACTGAGGGGTGGGTATGGATGTAGGGCTTGCAGGAGAGAGTCAGAGGAAGACCAATATGGAGGCATCTAGTTCTCCCTTGTTCTTATTTGTCACTGTTCGGGGTCTCCTTTGTGCATATGGACAATGTACATATTATAGAACAAATATATAAATAAGTACATATATAAATGTTTCTATCTAGAGCCCTTTAAAAACCATAAATGCTAAAAACTAAACAAAAGGATGAATGTCACTCATCCTGGAGCCCTTTACTGTTGCCTTCCTAGTAAACAGTAATATCTCTCTGAAAGAGTTAAATACAGCTTGCATGGCTCAGGTATTACAGAGGTGTAGAAAACCCCTATTTTCTATGATTAAGCTAAATCAAACAAAGTCCCCTGTTGACTGAAAGTAAAGTCAGGTAGGAATACAGAAACGAGGTGTTGAAGCGCCTTAATGGCTGTTCCTTAGCCCTGTCTCACTTTCTCCTCGTTTCTAGACTTCAGGTTACCTCAGTCTTTCTGGGGTAAAAACTTCTACTTCCCCACCTTTTCATGCTGAGCCCTGTAAAACAGGATGTTAACCCAGATGGCTGGTCAGGGCCCATTTGCATGTTTATCTTTCTATGCCCTCTTTTTATTCCAATCTCCTCTTCAGTTGGTCCTTGCTGGCAGGGATAAGTTGCTACTACCACCAATACCTCTTTCTCCTTTTCTCCTCCCTTCTCTCCTATGAGCACGTGTGTGTGTGTGTGTGTGTGTGTGTGTGTGTGTGTGTGTGTATGTGGGGGTGGGGTGGGGGAGTGGTCTATGCTCATATAGCTACATTTGCTCAGACCAAGGCCAGAAGAGAATATTGAGTGTCCTGTTTTTTCACTCTCTGTCTTGTTCCCTTCAGGTCTCTTATTGTGAGACCCTGGGCTAGGCTGGTGGCCAGCAATCCTCCTTCCCGCCCAGTGCTGGCTTACGGGCCTTGTATAGCTTCTTATGTCAGCTGAGGAACTGAACCAGGTTCTCAGGCTTCTGCAGAAAGCACTCTTACCACAGAGCCAACTCCCCAATCCACCCTTTCTATTCCTTGTCAGATAGGGACTTCCTCTCTAGGAAACTTTGATTTAATATGTGATTGTGACTTAAGTTGATTTTCCATCTGAAATATACCTTCTCTTAAAGACTATTTATTATCTAGTCAAACATTCAAAAGGCATTAGTAGGAGTTTATTTGCTAAACATTGTCCACTTCTCAAAATAATATAATAATGCAGAAAACCCCACTCAAAATAACACAATCTAAGATTACAAAGGAATCTATATCTTTTAGAAATCAAATTTTCAAAAAAATTTATGACACTTATTCTAAATAGTAAAATCTAATGATTAATTTATGCCCAATAATAAGCAGACCTAATCACTACCTTGATCTGGAAATTGTGACTTTGCATTTTATATTTCATGCTATCTACAATTGAAATCAAATGTAAAAATTTATAATTTTAAAAAGTCAGAGGTAATGATTCTATTTCCACAGTTTGTTGACTGCATTCATGACTAAATCAAATTGTACATATGTCAGTGAGAAGTTAAGATGTACTGTCAGCTCTCTAGAGGCCATGGACTGAGGCCTCACACAGTGGCCAACTTTACTCAGAGCATCAGACAATTTATACTCTGAAGATTAAGAAGGGTCACCTGAGTAAAGTGTCCAATCACAAGGACAAGTCATATGTGGCAAAACATGTTTTTCCATAGAGGCATAAAAAAATTAATCAATAACCAGTTCAAATGAATAAACCCAGTCTACCACACCTGGGACAAGCATGAAAACAATTCCAAGAGCAATTCCATGCTTTGAAGAAACCGAGGTCACGAGATTCTTGTTTTCTTGTAGTTTTTTTCACAGGCACTCAGAATTTTCCATTCTTGGATCATATTCTGACAATGTAATTCATTCCCACTACTATTTATTAATATGTAAATTCTACTACCTAGGGACCGTCTAGGGCACAAGCGCTTTGTTCTGGATGAGACAGTATGTGCTTTTCCTGTCCTTTAGGGAACTACCAGGAACATCAGCTACAGATGTGCAAACACTGTGCACAAAGGTGTAGTGTAAATTGAATTTCTGAATTTTTCTTATGTCCATATCCATACCCAGTTATTCTGAGTAGCTTATCTGATGCCTTGCTTAGTAGTTTACCCACATCTAATATTTACTTTAAATAACTTTTGCCTTTAAGTGAGTTTTTGTTGTTCTTACTGCTGTTTTTATTTTTATTTATTTATTTATTTTGGTTTTTCGAGACAGGGTTTCTCTGTGTAGCCCTGGCTATCCTGGAACTCACTCTGTAGACCAGGCTGGCCTCAAACTCAGAAATCCGCCTGCCTCTGCCTCCCAGGTGCTGGGATTAAAGGTGTGTGCCACCACTGCCTGGCTGTTACTGCTGTTTTGTTTTCTGAGACAGGGTTTCTCTTAGTAGCCCTAGCTGTCCTGGAATCAGGCTGGCTTCAAATTCAGAGATCCACCTGCCTCTGCCTCCCGAGTGCTGGGATTAAAGGTGTGCACCACCACTGCCTGGCTGAACCTGTTTATTTTTATTAGGACTGTAAAGTGTATTTTTAAAAGTAGACATCTCTTCAAAAGGAATAATTGAAGTAACAGACTTTTCCTGAGTATGGTCAGGACAATGGTTTTCAACCTGTGGGTTGCAACTCCTTTCACAAGGGTAGCTTCAGATATCCTACATAAATAATACATTTACATTAAGATATTTACATTAAGATTCGTAACAATAGCAAAATTCCAGTTATGAAGTACCTACAAAAATAATTTTATGGTTTCCACAACGTGAGGAACTGTGTTAAAGGGTCATAGCGTTAGGAAGGTTGAGAACTACTGGGTTAGGAGAATCTACTCTACCTAGCAAATGCGATTTGGAAGGAAACTGATTAAAGTGTAGAGTGCTAGCAATGGTTCTTGTGTTCTAAAATTGTGATTCTGTGACTTCTCCCTAGCTCTGCCAACTAAGCCGGAAAACATTTCCTGCATCCTTTACTTTGATAAAAATATGACTTGCACTTGGAGACCCGAGAAGGAAACCAATGATACCAGCTACACTGTGACGATGATTTGGTAAGTGTGGGAACTGTGCGTGTGTGTGTGTGTGTGTGTGTGTGTGTGTGTGTGCCCTCAGCAGGAGTTGAGGCTTCTGATTCACCTGAGTCAAGTTCCCTAGGAAGGATGACATTTCTCAATATCTTGTGGGTGACAGCTACATCTGTCAAGTGGCTGGGTGGCATCCCAGTTTCTTGTAGACATGCTGGCAGGATTGAACCTGAAGAGGGAGGACTATAGGTCATGTGGTGATCTGCCATTAGAGATGCCAGAGTGGCTAAGAGTGGTCTCCAGTTAGGAGCATGCTGGGAAAGTCTTCATTTAGTCTAACTCTTCTTCTTTCTAGAAAGAGCTATACCTCTGTTTTGTTTTCATGGATCCAGATACAGTGTGGCTGTGGCTTAGAGCCTCAGCCTGCCACTGGTTTCTGTGTGACTGTTTGTCAGTTCAGGGCTCACTGACTTTTCTTCACCGTCTCAAGCATCCCTTTTGATTGCATTTCCATTAGAATACAATTTTTTATCATTTAAAATGTACAATTCTAGCCATAAGCCAGGTTTTCTAAGAAAGCTAATGAAACTGTTCATTTGTGTTCTCCTACAAACAAAATTATTCAGGCTGGAGTTTATTTTGAGATGGACTTTTTTTTTTCTATTTCAAGTAGAGAGTCAATTATTACAAGGGTGTTGGTGGTGGTATATGTGTGTGTGTGTGTGTATTTGCATCTGTCTGTCTGTCTGTCTGTCTGTCTTTGTGCATTCACACATGTGTGCACTCAAAGGGAAGTCTACTTTATATTTACAAAAGAAGAAAAGAAAAGAACAAATCCTTGTCCTGAGGAAGAGAGAAGAAGATGTGGGTAGTTTTTTTTTTTAAGATTTATTATTTATTATGTACAGTGTTCTCCCTGCATACATGCCTGCATGCCAGAAGAGGGCGCCAGATCTCATTACAGATGGTTGTGAGCTACCATGTGGTTGCTGGGAATTGAACTCAGGACCTCTGGAAGAGGTGTCAGTGCTCTCAACCTCTGAGCCATCTCTCCAGCTCCCAATGTGGGTAGTTTTAAAGTTGAGACTTCAAAGACATCTGGAAGTAAGTGTGGGAAAGAAGAGAAAGAATGCAGTCCCAGGGCTGTGACGTGAATAAATACCTGCAAACATTAGCCATAGCACTAGCAATGGTCACAGTCCACACTAAACTTTACTTGTGTGACATATTTCACCCTATACAGATCTGTGCCCATGCTTATGATCATGACACAACACTACCCCAGGAGCCATTTTTTTTTTATCAGAAACCTTCAAGGTCCTTTCTGATCCTCAGATTCCATTTGTCTAAGCTCCATCCCTCCCTAGCTCAATTTGCAAGCCGAGCCTCCTGTTTAATTCTGCTCGAGGTTCACAACCTGAGAGCCACATAGGCTATGGCTGTGGCCTCCTGACACTGCTCTACAGGCACCTGGGAGAGTGGAGCCGATTAGTGAGGTGGACTAGAGTCTCCTGCAGCAGCCGACTTTATTCAGAGTATCAGACAAATGTATCAGAGTATTCATTCTCTAAGGGTTAAGAAAGGTCACACGAGGAAAAGTCTCGTGAGTTCAAGCTTTATACAATCACAAGGGCAAGCCACCTGTGGCAAAAACATGTTGTTCCGTACAGGCATATAAAGGATAGTTTAAATATTTAATTGAATAATAACAGTAAGCAATAATGAGTAATTTGAAGTAAAGCCAGTCCTATCTGCCATACCTGGGAGGAGATGAAAACTCGTTCAAAGAACAAGTCTATGTTTGGAAGAAACCGAGATTACAAGACCCTGGCTTTGTTTCCTGGAGTGTCTCATAAGTGTTCAATACTCTCCTCGCATGCATCCGTGAGGACCATGTTCTAACACTCTTCCACCTGATTCCTGTTAATGGTGTGAGAATGACAGCTCAAGCAGGTCTGTCAATCCACCATCAGTCACCGATCATTATGTGTTATATATTACCTGTCTATTACCTCATGCCTTATGCCTTACTATTCTTTTGCTATGAAGAGACACCTTGACCAAGGCAACTCTTTGTTTTTTGTTTTTTGGTTTTTTTTTTTTTTTTGAGTTTTTTGAGACAAGGTTTCTCTGTGTAGCCCTGGCTGTCCTAGAACTCACTCTGTAGGCCAGGCTGGCCTCAAACTCAGAAATCCACCTGCCTCTGCCTCCCAAGTGCTGGGATGAAAGGCGTGCGACACCACTGCCCAGCGAAACATGAATTTTTAATTGCATTGTCAGAAGACAATTATTTAAACATTTTTATAAAGAGCTTTTCAAGCATCTCTGACAAATCACATAAATAAATGCTTTTATAAAATGGTGATTATTCTGTACATGACTGTATCCTGAATTTTAAATATTAGTTATATTTACAATAATTTATTAAGCAAATTCTCTGATGTTTTAAATTTGGGGAGAGGGAGGAGACAGGGTGTCTCTGTGTAACTCTGTCCTGGAACTCACTGTAGAGCAGGCTAGCTTTGAACTCATAGAAATCCTCCTGCCTCTGCCAACGGAGTGCTGAGATTAAAGGCAGGTACCACCACTGACAGCCTTGAAAGGATAAATTGTTAAGGCTCTAGCTACAGTAATTTGACTCTGATATGGAATTAGAACAATCTGTTGATTATTTCTTAAAGTAGGAATGTATTGCCATATAGTCTACAGGGTTGATTATGACCTGGACTTTGGGCAATCTGTTCTCTCTTACAGTAGGAAGGCACCATCATGTGCTCTTTGGGGTCTCCTGAGGGTCTATGTGGCTCACAGCATCTCAGGCAGGCAGGAAGCAGGTACCCTTGGCAGAGGCACCAAATCCCCACACAGCTAGCTCTCCTGAGAAATCCAGAGCAGAAGTCACAAATGCTGCTTAGCTCATCTAAGTGTGATGTTGTTTTCAAACACATGTTGAACTCCTTTTCCTTTTAAAGCTACTATAGTAAAAAAAGCTGCACTGCTAAGGCTACAGAGGCTTCGATTTGGTTTCGCTCTCCCTCTGCCTATGTGACACCCCCAGATGATTGCACTGTTGAAGTGGAAGCTCAAAACAGAGATGGGAAAGTTAAATCTGACATCACATATTGGGAATTAACCTCCATAGGTAAGTGGTTGACGGTATCTGTGTAGGGACATTTGGAGTGATTGCTCTTCCAACTTCCTTCCCCTAATAAAGGAATCTTTAAGTTCAAATGCAAACTCAGAGTTTGAGGGAATAATAGATATATACTGTGGGCCTTCCGAGGTTTGGTCTATTGTATTGTAATGCGAAATTCTGTATCACAAGGCCTGGTTGCCTCCAGACAAAAGAATTCTCATGGATGCCGGCTTTTGTTGTGCAAACCTTGCTCCTTAATTTAAAACTGTTGGTTGAATAAAGCCAGGGGAGAAGAAGAAAGAGAGGAAGAAAGGATTAGGTGAGGGCCCAGGAGCCACCCTGAGAACACACATAGAGCAGAGAGGACCAGATCAACACTAAAATGAAAGTATCTCAGGGATCTTGGTTAAGAAGTAGTCAGATTAGTTTAGAAGGTTAGAATGGATTAATATCTGCTCATTATTGTGTCTTAAAGCTTGTTGAATAAATCTGATAGTCTCTGTCTCAATTATTTGGGATTTAGCCAGGTTAGAGAAAAAAAGTGCCACTTTTAAATTTGCACTAAAAATTGGCGCCTAACGTAGGGCATGAACCCACAACCCTGAGATTAAGATTCTCCTAACACCCTTTGTTTGAATGATCTTTAAAATTTCTTGATGGTGACTCTTCAGACAACAAAATAAGTTTGATGAAATCAATGCCTCTGTTTCTCTCTTATTGCTTGTGCTTCAGGTATTACATCTAAACCCTAATTTATTGCGGTGTTTTCTTCTAAGGTTTATAAATTGTTACATTTTGATAGTTGGTACATTGTAAGTAATTGTTTTGTTTGTTTGATTTTAGTGTTTTGGGACAGGTTGGCCTCACACATAGGCAAGACTAAATTTGAACCCCTGATTTTAATGTCTTCTACCTCTCAAATAGCAGGATTATAAGCATGTATGCCATGCCTGTCCTATTGAGCTCACTTTTTAAAAGGTGTCATTTTATTAATTTTATTAATTTTAATTACATGTGTGGGTATGTGCACATGAGTACGGGTGACTGTGGAGGCCAGAGGTGTTGAATGCTCTTGGAACTGGAGCTAAAGGTGATTGTGAGCTGCCTGATATGGGTGCTAGGAACTGAACTTAGGTCCTCTACAGTAGCACTATGCACTCTCAACCACTGAGCCATCTCTCTAGCTTCCTGGGTTAGTTTTTTCATATGGTGTTAACTGTGTCAGTCAATCTTTATGTTACTGTAACACGTATCTGTAAAAAAAATAATAAATCTGATTTTTCTTCCTGGCCATGTAGTTCCCAACAGCAATGACTGAATTTAATTAGTTATTATGAAATACCTAGACCATAAACTTTGGCTCATTCTCTGATTTACTCTTTTTTTTATTAATAATTTTATTCATTACATTTCAAATGATATCCCCCTTCCTGGTTACCCCTCCACAAACTTCCCCCATCCCATTCCCTCTTCCCCCTCCCCTCTGTCTCTATGAGGGTGCTCCTCCACCCACTCACCCACTCCCGCCTCACCACTCTAGCATCCCCCTATGCTGGGCATCAAGCCTCCACAGGACCAAGGACCTCCCCTCCCATTGATGTCAGACAAGGCCATCCTCTGCTACATATGTATCTGGAGCTCTGGCTCCCTCCATGTATACTCTTTGGATGGTGGTTTAGTTCCTGGGAACTCTAGGTGGTCCAGATAGCTGATAATGTTCTTCGTATGTGGTTGCAATCCCCTTCAGCTCCTTCAGTCCTCTCCCTAGCTCTTCTGTTGGTGTCCTCGGGCTCAGTCCAATGGTTGGCTGTGAGTATCTGCATCTGTATTGGTCAGGTGCTGGTAGAACCTCACAGGGAACAGCCATTCCAGGCTCCCATCAGCAAGCGCTTCTTGGCATCTGACTAGCTCTTAACTTACTTAACTATTTAATCTATTCTATGTTTCCCACTTGCTTAGTTATCTCTTCTTCAGTCCCTGCCTGCCTCTTCCTTATCTCCTCAGCGTCTCCTCAGCATCTCCTCAGCGTCTCTGAATTACTCTTGCTGCTAATTTACATCCATCTCCTCGGTCCATCTCCCTGTTTCCTCTCTCATTTCGACCCCCATGCTTCTCTTCTCTTTTAACTCTATTTCCCAGAATCCTCTCTCTTCCTGACAATGTCCCGCCTTCTATTTTCTGCCTCAGCTCATTGGCCATGGACTTTTTTATTGACAGGCAATGCTTATAAGATATTCTCTCTACACATGTCTAGACAGTTTATAAAAATAAAAGATTTGTTTTCACTCATGGTTTTACAGGTTTCAGCCTATGCCAACTGGTCCCATTGCTTCAAAGCGGTTTATCTCATAGCTGAAGAACAAAATAAGAGAGAAGGAATCGGGGTCTATTGTTCTCTTCAGTGTTAAATGCCCAATGACCTCTAGACCGCCCCCTAAGCTCTTCCCCTAAAAGTTCCACAACCTTCTAGTAACCAATTGGCGAGAACCAAACTTTCTATATGGAGATCTAAGGAGACACTGGGTGACTTTTTTTTTAATTATATATTTTTCTTGCTCTGTATTATCCAGAAGTTGTTTAAGACTTCTTGTCTCAGACTCTTAAGTTCTCTGTTTATAAATGTGAGCCATCATGTTGGCTAAAATACATATCTTCAGAAAAAAATTTGGGACTCCATGTTCACAGCATGCAAAGAAATGAACAACATTTTCTGGTGGTCATTCTTCATCACAGGGGGCCAAAGAAGTGGCCTGCTAGATGGTTGTGCAGTCTCTTCATAAACAGTTCCGTTTTAGTTTATTCTGTAAGCCTAGTTTTGCTTATGATTACATCATCCTCATTATTAAATGTATTCTTATGTTTTGCCATCATGGTGGTTGGCATTAAGTAAAGGACTGATTTGCAAAGAAATCATAGCAATTCTCTTGTTGCTGGGTATGCTGTTTCCATTGGTCCAGGCCTTGGGAGAGTGGCAGTCTCTTTCTACTGCCTTGCTAATGCATCTGCATGTAGTAGTGGACCACAGAATACAGACTGTCTTTGGCTTTCTAGGCTTACTGTGTTCTAACTCTGGGAAGACACTATTAGTATCTTCTCATCTGTCTATAAATATAAAGATTGTATGGTTTTTGTTTTTCAGTGAAAACTGAACCACCTATAATTTTAAGCGTGAATCCAATTTCAAATAAAATGTTCCAGATACAATGGAAACCCCATGAAGATATTTATGTATTTGATTTAATGTGCACACTTCGGTTCAGGACTGTCAACAGTAGCCACTGGGTAAGTTATCCCAGTGTGGTATTTCCACTAGAGACGCAAAGAAGGCCCTTATTGATAACTTTTTGTCATCCAGAATTGCATCTTTCACTTTTTACATGGAAAAAAAATATTACTAGTGACTATTCTATTTCCCCATTTTCCATTTGTGCCTTTTAGCTGGAGAGTACATCCTACCATATACATTTTGTATTCCAAACACAATGACACCCTGCAGAGTTAGAAATTTGGTTTTGTATTATACCCTGTTTTGTATATTGCAGTATCGGCCACCAGAAACTATTATTTGGCCATTGTAAACATTTTAAAAAATCTTTTACGAAACAAATAGCATATTTTAAGAGAACAAAATATACATTGCATCTAATGAATTGTTACTAACTCAGCATTCATGTAAGAACCCACCCAAATCAGGAACAGAACATCCAATAGTCTGTCAGAGCTTTCTCCTTACCCATTCCTGATTGCTGCCTGTACTTAGAACCTGGTTAGCAACCTCTTTGGGGGTTACATATCAGATACCCTGCATATCAGATATTTACATTAAAATTCATAACAGTAGCAAAACTACGTTATAAAGTACCATAAAATAATTTTATGGTTGGGGGTCACCACAACAACATGAGGAACTGAGTTAAAGGGTCATAGTATTAGGAAGGTTGAAAACTACTGTTTTAGGGTTAGCTACTTCTTCATGACAATCATCTTTCTGCTTTTCATGCTTGTTTGTTTTGCTTTATTTTGCTGGATTTCTGGGTATCAGAATCACCTTGGAGTTTAAGCCAAAGACTGGGTAGCCCCCGTGTCTTTGGGCTCTGCATTGTACCCCTCAGAGTAGTGGACACTAAGTCTCTGATACACAAACTTCCAACTAGCAAGTGGGGAGGAGGAGGAGGATTCAGGGTGTGAGTCATACTTACCATGGATATGACCTGTCTCAGCAAGAAAGCACTGCAGCTGAAGCCGAGAAGCAGAAAAGAAGCACATGCTGTCTCCATTTCTGCTTGAATCCATTCTGTCTTACAGATGGAAGTCAATTTCAAGGATCATGGACGGGTCTACAACCTCACAGGGCTTCAGGCTTTCACAGAATATGTCCTGGCTCTACGATTCAGGTTCAGTGAGTCAAGATATTGGAGCAAGTGGAGCAAAGAAGCAACCAGAATGACTATGGAGGAAGGCAAGCCCCCCTCCCTACTATTCTTCATCTGCTAATTCTGGTGGAGGGCTTCCTGGGTCTACCTTAGTGGTTTTGACACATGGGATTAGGATTTGTGAATTCTTGGGAAACCAGGTCCTAAAGTATCTGGAGGACCCCGCTCACCATAAACATTAGTGGTCTCTGCTAAGCCCCTGGGAATGAGCTATTCTCCTCAGATGCCTAAGTTACTGTAGCAGTTTTATGTACCCAGAGATATAAGACCTCATCTCTCATACTCTTGGGAGATTCTTAGACTCTAGAAGAAATGGCATCATTTCCTTGGAAGGCATCCTATGATAAGTCAAAGCTATACATCTTAAACCTTAAGAATGGCTCCTAAGTATGGTAAGGTAGAGATAATACAAGAAAATAGGTCCGATTTTTAATGACAGCAAAGGAAGGAAAGAAATGGGGTGCACAAACCAACTCCCATAGCTGGTCTCCGGAATCAACTTCCATACTCCTGGTCCAGGAATTTATTTCTTCCTGTTCCTGACTGAGTTTCCAGAAGACCAACTTGGAAATATTAAATATTTGTCACATTCAACCTTTTTGTTAGATTCAGGAACCTGTCTGATACCTTCTGAATTTGTATTCCCCATTGGAGGTATTCCAACTTAGCCTGTAACTTTCTCTTCATGGATGTAGCTTTATGCATCAGTTATGGAATTGGGTATCCTTCTCATCTGAGATTCTCACATGCCATGGTCTGGTAATGTGGGGAAGAGACCACAGAAAACCCAAAATCACATGCTAAAGTGTTAGGACCAAACCTAACACATGGTGATGGCAATACAAACAAAATAAAAATTTTGATTAAAATTATATGCATTGGGAATACATTCTACAAACACCCTCTCTAGCTGCTTAAGTGATATGAATATCTATAGGTATAAAACTGCATATAAAGTGTACAATAAGAAATGACCAAATGGTACTGGGATAGTCAGCACTGTGATTGAGTTGAGCTCTCTCTGTAAAAATACCAGAATGAACCTCACATCCTTACCCAAACTGTCCTCTTCCTCAATGACACCTTTCACCAGGCAATTTAGTGATGAAATGATATTTGGAGTGTGGTTGTAGCTTGTCCAGATCTTGCTGTGGCTCTCATATTTTTTTTTATGGCGCTAACATGGCTCAGTCTCCAGATGCACATGCTTCTCAGTCCAGGATGTCCTCGTGTCACTGTCCTCAGCAGTCTTTGCTGTCAGCACTATAAGTTATTATTTCTTCTAGTTCAGTGAGCCGCCATCTGCTGACTAACACAGACCAGCTCCTAATGAATCACCCCGAGAACTCTGGCTCTGAGTGGGACATTCCTTCTGCTCTTGTTTGTCTTCATTCTTTTTTGGGATCTGAGAAGGGGGCAGTGGATGGATGGGTGGATGACCTAAACCCCAGGAAGTCCTAAGGTCTTGTTTTCCAGCTCACAAACCAACTAGTTCCTATTTCATAATGGAATGCTAGTTATCTAATTCACACAATCTCAAACCTTAAAATTATTTGAAAAATTCTAAGCCAAATTGAAATATCTTTTTTTTTCTTTCAACCTATTGATGATTAGAACTAGCTACCTGTATTTAAGGATTTAATTATCTATCCATATGGTACTAATGTGCTTAGATTTAAATCCTGGCTGAATTACTTAAAAGCTTGTATAACTGGATAATATACTTTCTCTATGAGGATAGTAATGTCAAATCCCCACAGTGATAGGGTTGTAGGGATTAAATGAGCTCATCTAGGTAAAACACTTAGTGCAGTGGTCCTTGCTAGAAGTTAGCTATAGCCACTATTGGTCATCAGTAGTACTTCTAGTATGTGTCTGGTTACAGATGGAAGGGCTACTGTACTAATGTATACAGGTGTCAAATCTCAGAGGGCATAGTATGGTGCATATCCATCCAACTTTAGGAGACCAGGTGTATTCCAGTAGAATATACTTTACCCCCTTATATTATTATTAAGTTATCAGACCAATATACTTTTATTTTGAAATATGGTTGGTTCCAGTCACTCAACTACAAAATGAAGACCTTGTTGGGCATTTCAAGATTCAAGATTTAGGAGCTGGTCTGTGTTAGTCAGCAGATGGCAGCTCGCTGAACTAGAAGAAATAATAACTTCCTCCTCTCTGCCTTACTGGTCCCATCAAGCATCTCCTTTCCAAGGCAGGGTATCCCATGACTTGGTGCATATCCATCTACTGCTGTAACCCTCTTCTGTCAGTCATGGACTTCCTTTTGTTCTTTTCAGTTCCACAAGTCCTGGACCTGTGGAGAATTCTGGAACCGGCAGATGTGAATGGAGACAGGAAAGTGTTATTGCTGTGGAAGGTGAGCTCCCTTTGTCTTACTTAACCTGACCCCCTGGTAAGACCTTTGATCTCTTTCACTCTGTAATCCTTGATGTTTTATCTCCTAGCTTTCCCTTTCTATAGGGCTTTGTGGTAGTCTCAAAGCTTTCAGTTGTTGTATAGGTCAGAAACTCCCCCATAGGTTACCCTGTAGACCGCTGAAGTACACATTACACACCAGCTGCTTTCTTTGATCTGACTTATTAATACTTGGAGCAGTAGCAAAGTACAACCACAGGATGCTTTGTGGCCTTCCAAAAGAAGCTGCCATACCCTAGAGTCCATTGTGAATTTTTTCAGCTTCATTCTTAAACCTACAAGGAGCACTGTTTGGGGTCATCGACATCCCCGGGAGTCAAGTCATCTGCCATTACCAATATATTTGACATGTATGTTCCTTTAAGTAGTAGGATAGTATTGTGTACATGGCAGGAGAGGTGTTCCCATGACCCTTTCTAGGGTGAAATTATGGGCCTGAGGGAAAAAGAGAAGATGGTAGGTGATACAGGGAAGGGGAGAAGGAAGAACTAATAAGAAAGAAAGAAAGAAAGAAAGAAAGAAAGAAAGAAAGAAAGAAAGAAAGAAAGAAAGAAAGAGCCGGGCAGTGGTGGCGCACGCCTTTAATCCCAGCACTTGGGAGGCAGAGGCAGGCGGATTTCTGAGTTCGAGGCCAGCCTGGTCTACAGAGTGAGTTCCAGGACAGCCAGGGCTATACAGAGAAACCCTGTCTCGAAAAACCAAAAAAAAAAAAAAAAGAAAGAAAGAAAGAAAGAAAGAGAGGGAGAGAGAGAGAGAGAGAGAGAGAGAAAGGAAGGAAGGAAGAAAGAAAAAGGGGGAAGAAAGAAAAAGAGGGAAGAAAGAAAAAGAGGGAAGAAAGAAAGAGGGAAGAAAGGGAGAGCAAAGAGGTAAACAGAAAAGGGAAGGGAAGGGGAGAGGAGGAGGGGAGGAGGGGAAGGAGGAGGAGAAGGGGAGGAGGGAGATGAGGGGGAGGAGAGGAGAGGAGAAAGAAGAGGAGAAAGGAGAAGAAAGGAGAGGAAAGGAAAGGCAAGGAAAAAGAAAAGGAAAGAAAAGAAGGAAGGAAAGGAAAGGAAAAAGGAAAAAAGAAAGGAAAAAAGGAAAGGAAAGGGGGTAATTAGAGGAAAACTTATAGGAAACAGAAGAGAAAAATGAGAAGTTAAAGGGAACAAGAAAAGAAGAAGAAGGAGGAGGAGGAGGAAGAGGAGAAGGAGAAGAAGAAGGAGAAGAAGAAGGAAGAAGAAAGAAGGAAGAAGAAAGAAGAAAAGAGAAAAAGCAAAAGCAGCAACAGCTATTTGGACTCAATTGTATATCTCCAGAGCTATCAAGAAATAATCTGTTTGCTCAAGTTTGGCAACTTAAGTCCTTTTGAGTGGAGACATCACCCTGACTTGCTAAGTGACATCCCCAAAACCAGTTATCTCAGGGTTAGCTTTGGTTTGTCTGTCTCCTTGGACAGAGGCAGGGACATAGGAAAGCACAGCCAGGGACATTGAGAATATTAATCTTGCTGTGCTGTGGGAAGAGTCCAGCAGGCCAGCCTGAGAAGTAAGTGACCAGACTTCACCACCTGCCTCCGCCTCTGTGCCCCAGGAGACAGTGATTTTCTGCTTGTTTTATTTTGTTTGGGGGGGGTTTGTTTTGTTTTTGCTTTTTGAGATAGGGGTTCTCTGCATATCCCTAGCTGTCCTGGAAGCCACTCTGTAGACTAGGCTGTCCTTGAACTCAGAGATCATTTGCCTCTGCCTCCAGAGGGCTGGGATTAAAGGCATGAACTGCCACCATCCTTATACATTTCCTAAGAATTCAAGTTATTTAGCAAAGCAGTCACTAAAAGACTCAAAAGTTCGATGGTGGTTAAGGATGTGAGAGTTTGTGACTGACTTGAGAACCACTGACTTGTACACATTTAAGTACTGAATTTGATAGGCTCAGTGGTAGAGTGCTTGCCTAGCATTGGTAAGGCTGTGGGCATGATTTCCAGCACTGAAAATGAATAAATAATAACATCCAGCAATTTTTAAAAAAAATATGAACTACATATCAGCAAAAGACAAAAGAGGAGAGATAAGGAATTGTTGTGCGCACCTCTAGTCTAGACATTAGACAGGTTCCAGCTGGTCTTTTATTCCTCTGGCCATTGAAAGGGAAATTCCTGGACTAGGATGGCACTGGGTCACAGTGAATGAAAGCTCTATCTGACCACACACCCACTCATCCTGTTCCTCGTACGTTTGCAATGAGTAATAGATATCGAAAAACTGGGAGTCCCCATAATTCCCAAGAAATACTCAGCATGCTTACTCCTAGACAAAACATCTGGTCAGTGGGTCTAAGGTCAAGACTAGAAATAAGAATCTGGGTCAGGGTTTCTGGGGTTTCACTTTGGGTTTCCCTGCTAAGAGGATTGGCATGGAAACCCTGAGTATTTTAGTCCCTTTAGCTGGATTACCTAGCTGGACATCATGCCCAGGACACAACAATCTCCCTTTAGAAGGAAACTATAGAAATTAAAGATAAAGGCACAGCTACTCACCAACCTTTGATGACTTTGAACTTGGCTTTGGCCCAGAAATAAATGCCTTGACTCTAGATTTTACACCCCTGCCCATACATGATAGAAGAAAAGACACAGATGGAATTAGAGGTGGCTTGCCCACACCAGCTTGGCCCAATGAAACTGGACTCGTATTAAGAGCAGATATCAAGTTACCGTTTGGTATAGATAATCTCTTCTGGCACTTGAAGGGTTAACATCACCCGCCAGCAAACATTTGTGTTGGAAAGATAATTGCTTGTAGCTTAGCGTCTGATGGCTAACGTGACATCTCTCCATTTATCATTGTCTCCGTGCTTTTCTCTTTCTGGTATTGGCAATAACTTCTGTTTTCTTTGGATACAGAAGGCAAGAGGAGCCCCAGTCTTGGAGAGAACGCTTGGCTACAACATACAGTACTCTGCAGAGAACAGCACTATCCTCACAGAGATAAACAATATCACTACCCAGCAGTATGAACTGCTTCTGATGAACCAGACACACCATGTTTCTGTGACTTCTTTTAATTCTCTTGGCAAGTCCCAAGAGGCCGTGCTGAGGATCCCAGATGTTCGTGAGGAGAGTAGGTACCTCTTGCTCAATATGTAGTCCCATCTGGTTAAAGAAAGAGTGGTCTCTGTCCTCAGGGTAGCTGTTTGTCTTTAATTGGATTGAAGAGGGAGGAACATGGTGCTCTTTAGGTTGTTGTGGGGGGATACAGATCTGCTTAACAAGCCCTTCCACTCAAAATTACAGTTCCTATGGAATAGAGCCAGTGCTAAGAGTTAAAAACCAGTCACACAGTGCAGTCAGCCTTGAGGCTCTGCTTGCTGCTTCTGTTGGCTCTGGACCAAATGCTTGAATGCTGGGTTGAGCCACAAAAAATAGTCATATTCAAGACCAGTGTTATCAAAACCGTGTCCTCTCCTGAACTCTGTCCTTCCCAGATGTCCCTGTGTCCCAGCTATGGTTTAGTGTTCCTTGTCCTGGTTTCTGTCTTTCCTCCTTTCTGTCTGACTGCCCGGCTAGGAAAACCCCTTGTATATGTATAGATTTGCCAATAAATTGCTGTTAAGGTTTTTTTTTTTTTTGAGAAGAGATCCCACCCAGAGCTGCCCTCTAACTTACAGCCAGTTCGGCTTCAGACTCACAAGTGATGGTACTGCTGACATCAGCCACCATGCCTGGCATCTACTGAGTCCGCACATTGGACATTACTGAACCCAGGCAAAGTGGCAAACCTTACTGTTTGTTTTGGACTAAAAAGCCTTCTTGGATTGTGTGAGAATGCTGTGGGGTGTGTGTGTGTGTGTGTGTGTGTGTGTGTGTGTGTGTGCTGTGCGTAACTGTGTCATATGTGTGTATGTGTGTGAGTGCTGTGTCATGTGTATGTGTGTGAGTGCTGTGTCATGTGTGTGTTGTACATATGTGTGTGCTGTGCTGTATATGTGTATGTGTGTGTATGCTATGTTGTGTGTGTCAGTGCTGTGTCATGTATGTCTTGTGTGTATATATACATGTGCTGTGTTTTGTGTGTGAGAGTGCTATGTTGTGTGTATATGTATGTGTATGAATGCTGTGCCATGTTTGTGCGTGTGTTTGTGTCTGTGTGTCTGTGTGTCACCACTGTGGAGCCCAGAGCTTGATATTGGATGTCTCCTCTAACACTCTCCACCTTATTTTTAGGCTAGGGTCTCTCATTGAACACGCTTCACCGATTGACTAAACGGCCTGGCAGGAAGCTTGCTGGGGCCCTCCTGTCTCCCTCCCTGCAGTGATTACAGGCGTGTGCCGCCATGTTTGGAGTTTTATGTGGTCACTAGGACCTAAACCTGGCTGTGCATGCTTGTGCAGCAGCACTTTACCCCCCGAGGAGCGTTGTCCTCAGCCCCTTCACCTCTGGGTTTGTGTTTAATACTTGCAAGCAATAAATGGGACTCCGCTGTCTGCACAGAGCTTTTCATCCTTGGGTTTCTACTTTGTCAATTGAACTTAATTTTTTTCCTTTCTTCTTCTTCCTCCTCCTCTTCTTCTTTTTCCCTCCCTCCCCCTCAACTTTTCTCAAGAGGATACATACCCCATGAAAACAGTACTTTTTAAAAAACAGTACTTCCATTATTAATACTTAAGAATTTCACACAATGCATTTTGAGCATATCATCTTCTCCTAACTCCTCCCAGATCCACCCTCTCCATCCTCACCCCCTTACTTGCCGAAATTAGAGTTTCCTTCTTCTTCTGCCCTCCCCTGAGGTATATTGTCCAACTGCACTTGGTTGTGGGCCCAGAGGGCAGGGTTTGTTTGTTTGCCGGGCTTTCTTTTCTTTTTTTTTTAATTATAATTTTCTGAATGTCAAATAACATAGCAGCTGGCACAGACATCAAGGCGCTCTTCTCTCTGACTAATATCTCTATTTGCTTAGCCCGGCCTGGTTCAGGCATCTGTACAACCAGCTCTATACTTCGCTGTCTGTCCTTCTCCCCTTCTCCTCTCTTAAACCTAACCCTCTTCTGCCTTTATTTTAGAATTCTGGGAGGCTCATAATTTTGTGTTTAGAGTCAGTGTCCCTAACATCCTAGTTCCTGGGTCTAAGAGTCTAGTGACGTTGAAACAAATGACATGCGGTTGGAATAGATATTCTTTGTTAAATAGAGGTACTGCCGAAAGCAATTAATCTCAGTTCCCACTATTGCCCTGTAATGGGAAGCAAGAGACAACAGAGAGTGGAAGTGTGGTCCTTGGAGTCCAGCAGCCCTGGGTTCAAATCTTTGCTCTCCCACAAGATACCACTCCCATTGGGCGAGCTAGCTAACCCCGTAAGATGCTTGTAAACCGAACCTCTTATGTAATACATCTATCTCACAAAACTGTTGTGCATGATAAACGAGATTCTCTGTGGAAATGTTTTGTCTGGTGTTGATCACCGTTCCTTTTGTTTGTTTTGAGACAGGGTCTCATGTAACTGGGCTGGCCTCAAACTCACCATGAGTCGAAGGATGACCTTGGGTTTCTGATCCTCGTGTCTGTTGCCCAAGTGTACAAGCATTTCAGAGTTATGCTGTGCTACAGATTGAACCCAGGGCTTCACTGTGCTAGGGAAGCTCTCCACTGATTGAGTCACAGCCCTAGTTCTATTTTCATTGTTCGGTCTCTCTGTGTGTCTCGGTCCTCTGAGCCCCTCTCATGCTGGGGATTAAACTGAGAACCTTATACTTGTTGTACAGCCAAGCTCTCTACCACTTAGATACTAGGTTACAGTAGCTTACTGTCATTCTTAATAGAGTTCCGGTTAATTATATTTCTACTAGGTATGACTTGTCAACTTAAAAATACTATAAAATATACTTTAAAATGATGCTAAATTCACTTAGGATTTTTCTTTTAATTTTGTATTGAAACTATTACCTATAATGGTCCTAGACAAGGTCTGGGCTAAATCGGGCCCAATGCATTTTTGTTTTGCAAGTGAACTTTTAAAATATTGTCATGTACATCTTTTCATGTGCTCTGTGGCTTCTTTGCACAACAGTCATGTAATGAGTGATTGTGATAGAGACTGTGTCAGCTCTGAACATTACAATGCTTACAGTCTAGCTCTTTATAGAGGAAGCTTGCAGAAGATTGCCTTAGAAGAGCTTAGGTCATCCTTTTTCAGTATCAGTGACCACTGACGACAGCAGATATTTGATACAGTACCTATGTGTGTCGAAAGGCATTATCTACATGACCCGATCCGCAGGCCCAGTTTTTCGTGGGGGTCGAGGGGGACCTCACCTGAAAGGAACATGGGCGAGAGAGAGAACAAGACCAAGCAAATGGCTACTTGTCAAGGTCTACTTTAATGTGGAAGCGGCTTACAAGATATACTCTAGGCAAAGGAGGAAGGGGGACAAAGAACAGGATGGGGACTCTATCAACTATAGATAGATAAGGTCAGTCATCCAGCAAAGCATTCTGTGGTTTTTTCCGGAATGTCCCGGGGCAACAGTTCTCTAAGAACAGGAAATTCTTTCTTAGCTGAAGGTCAGATTCTCCCAAAAGAGACAGTTTCTCATTAAGGCAATTCATTAAGCAACTTTGTTAGCTGGGATGGTGGTCCAGGGTCGCCAACATCCACACATGTTAATGGAGACACAGGGAAACATAATGTCCATTATACCTCTGGCTACTTGTTCAGTGTTTATCATAATTTACCAGAGAACTGTGAGACTCTACAGAATTTTGTTTAATAAAGTAAAACCAGGTAGGAAAGAGTTAAGTAATAATAGTGCCATTAACTTAACTCTCACTGAGTCAATATGACCGTCACATGTTGTGTTGTACATTAGGCATTGTTAGGCATTGTGACAAGGTATGGCTTGTCTCATCCTTGAAATGACCCAAGAAGCAGATCCTGTTAGGTCTGTCTTCTACATGATGGACGTGATTTGTATAAGATATTTCCAGTGCAATCTCAACCCAGATCTGCATGAACTAAACTGGTATAATATATTTATCTTAGAATTAGTGTTCATAATGTGTAGCTAGGCTTTTGATTACTTTATTGGGTTCTTATCTCTACCACCTTTCTGACCCTTATTCCACCCCAACCTTTTCCAACTCCCTAACACTGGATCAGAGAGAAAGAAGGTTGGAGGAGAAAGGGGGCATAGACCTCTTTAGACTACTTCCTGCTGATTAGGGGCATTGAGTACTCTAGAGCAAGTCCAGTCGTTGTCATCAGAACATCTCCAACCACCAGCTAGCAATCCAGCAATAGCAAAAGCAGCAGCAGGAGTCACCAGCAGCAGAGGGAGCAGTAGCTGCCACAGGCCCTTCCTGGGCTCTTGAATTTATGACCTCTTGAGTCCCCAGAATTCTAAACATAAACTATCTGCAGCTGGCAAAAATCTAGAGCCTCTCCTAGAGCATGAGACAATCACAGTGGCATGGATATTCTGAAGCAGTCCCATTCCCCATGCCTGGGATTAAAACAGAGCCATAGTCACATAACATAACTGGGTTTTTAAAGAAACCAAAATTCTCACCACAATATGTGACTTGGAATTCTGATCATAGATGCTGTGCAAGCCAAGATCGTTATTTGCCTCTGTGGGCATCATCTTTAAAGTAAAGTAACCCTTCAGGGTCTCTCTACTGTTGAACTTCTTGAAATTTATGTGTCTTCAGTCACAGGTAGGACTAGTCTGGTACAGGATGTGGAGAACCAAAGCCACTTGTACGGTGAGTTGGCCTGAGGAACAGTGGGGACTGCATCAGGGAGAGAGTTGAAGGTCAGACTGAACTGGCCCTGAGAACAGTATTGGGCAGATCTAGGGTGGTGGTCTTCATGACCATCACAAGGCATAACAGATGTTCACAGTCAGACTTCTTCCCTGCCTCCAGGGCTGATCATGTATCCTCTTCCTCTCCAGAGTCTTTTAGGAGCAAGTGCCCAAGGTGTTCTTGATGAAGAGTGGTGATTAGTCTTTATTCAGTAGGATGATTTAGAAGCTTTTCTCTTAGCGCTTCCTTAATGAGGGTTCCCTCTTGTATGGCTGATTCATAGTTTCTGGGCTCCTTTCCGACCTCCTCATGATCTTCTTCCCAGACCCTGCAGCACACCTGGCATGTTAGACCTGGCTCTTCCACTCTCAGAGCTCCAGGATTGGTGAGCTGGAGGACTGTGAGGACTGGAGGTGTGCTCATCATCTTCAGGGCACGAGTCCTTGCCAGGTCACTTGCTAATAAAGTACCTCCAGGAGACCAGAGGAGGAAATGGAGGACACAGGCCAGAGGCTAATTAAGCAAAAGTACTATCTTCCTGTCCTAAGGCTACTGCTGTGAACCACCAGCAGCTGGGTGGTCTCAAACAACAGAAACACACTGTCCCGTGGTTCTGGAGGTTAGAAGTACAGGAAAGCAAGTTGTGGACTGGACCATGCTCCCCCCACCAGAGTCTCTACAGGAGGATCCTCTTCAACCTTTTCATACTTCTTGTGGCCCTAGACCCTGGCTTGGGGCAGCTCGAATATCTCCAACTTCTTCCTCTCTCCCTCTCCGATTGCTTGTTTCCTTTCTTATCGTTCTTTTTCTTTTGTGTGTGGTTTCTGTGCACATATTAATTTGTGCACATGTATGGAGGCCAGAGGCAGACATCAGCTGTCTTCTTCAATTGTTCTCCACCTTAATTTTTAAGTAGGTGTGTGTGTGTATGCACACTCATGTATGTTTCTGCGTACGTACATGCTTGCATGCATGCTAGTCTGTGTGTGCATGCATGTGTGTGTGCATGTGTATGTGAATGTGTATATGCATGTGTGTGTGCATGTGTGTATGCATGTGTGTGTGTGCATGTGTGTGTGCATGTGTATGTGCATGTGTATATGCATGTGTGTGTGCATGTGTGTGTGCATGTGTGTATGCATGTGTGTGTGTGTGCATGTGTGTGTGTGCGCATGTGTGTGTGTGTGTATGTTGAGATATCCTCTTTGTTACCCTGCTGTGTTGGAATTTCCAAATGCTGGGGTTAAAGACATGTATCGCCACACCCTTCTAGATTTATTTTTCTTATTTTAAATTATGTGTGTCTGTATGTGCTTGTGAGTGTAATTGTCCATGGAGGCCAGAGGCAATGGCTCTCCCTGAAGCTTAAGTTACAGGCACTTATGAACATCCAACATGGGTGCTGGGAACCCAACTCCAGTCTTCTGCAAGAGGCATGTCCTCTTTACTCTTTACTGAACGGTAAGGAGGCAGGTTCAAGGGTCTTCCTGTCTCTGCCTCTAAGTCCCCTGAACTCAGAAGTTTATGTGGATGTTGAGGATCAAACTCAGCTCCTAGTGCTTGGGTCTTAAGCACCTTACTGACTGAGCCATTTTCCCAGCCTTGCCCTCCCCTAATTTCCGTCTCTTATAAGAACATAAGTTACACTGACTGCAGGGCCTGCCATCCACCCTACATCTACTGTGGTCTCATTTCCACATAAAGTCATTCTCTGTAGCGCAGGGGCATCATTTGGGAGAATATTCATCAACACATAACAGCTGTGGGCAGGGGAAGGCAGGGGAGAAGCAGCAGGAGCCCTGGGGAAGAAGTGCCAATGTCCAAGCTCTGTGCTTCTTGCCCTGGCTCTGCCCTTGCCTCGCCTTCATCCTCTCCAACCCAGCTGCCTTTTCAGGTTGACAAATTACCTGGCTGAGCTTCTGGGAGTAGCAATGGGGATCTCAAATGCAGAGCCAGTTTGAGAAAGGAACCCATGAGCTGCAGCATTTAGGGAGGAGGCTAGGTTTCCTCTCCTGCTTGGAGACTTTGACTTACAGAGGACTCGTAGGGTGCTAGTCCCTCCAGATACTAGCTGCTAGTGAGATCTGTTTTTGGAATCTTGTTAGTTTGGGGGAGGTTAAAGCAGATTTAAAAGGCATTTAATCATCAGAGATATTGGATAAGGGAAAAAGACAAGGACAAAAGGGAAGCTTTCAGAGCTACAGAGGAGATCTTGAACTTTGACCCTTTACTATTTGGCAATGACTGGATACCAGTGGGGCTGGTACATTTGGGCTGATTTGTGAACCAGTGCTTTTCCCCTCTCCTCAGGCTTCCAGTGCATCGAGGGCATGCAGGCCCACATAGCTGAGCCCCTCCTGGTGGTGGACTGGCAGAGCTCCATTCCTGAGGTGGACACTTGGGTAGTGGAGTGGCTCCCAGAGACTGCCGGGTCAAAGTTGCCTGCTCTTTCCTGGGAATCCGTGTCTCAGGTCACCAACTGGACCATTGAGCAAGGTAGCTGGCTCAGAGCCTGCAGGTTCCCTTGGTGTGGGGTTTGATTTCATTTAGATCAGCTTTGAAGGCTGTGTGGACAGCCCTGGAGACGGTTAGTAACTGTCTCGGCTCTCAGCATTTCCCAGGCGAAGCTGGCACAGAAAGCCTGTTCCCAGATGGGAAATAAACATAATCTTATGTACTCATGTTAGTGGAGACACAGGAAATAACAATGTTCACCAGCTACCCTGCCAGTGCTAATCATAGTTTAATAGAAAAAAGTAAGGGTTTAAAAATAATATGTTATTTGAAATTGATAATCTCATATGAACATACAATGGATTTTGCCCATATCTAACTAACTTCTCCCAGATCTACTTCCCACCCCTCCCAACCTTCTGTCCCTCCCTTTATTTTTGTTTTTTTAAATAACCTACTGAGTGGAATTAGTGCTGTCCATATAGGCATAGATGTAGAGCCACTCACTGATAGTGGTTGGCCTACTGGGGAGTGGGGGACATTCTTGAAGAAAATTGACTCTCCCACCCCATCACCCATCAACTGCCTATAATAGCGCCTCAGCTAGAGGTGGATCTCATTCTCATATGCTCCTCCCACTTCATGCTGGAATGTTGACCAGTTTGATCTGTACAGGCAAGCACGGCTGCTGTGAATTCATGAGTGCAGTGGTCCTATCCTGTCCAAAAACCAACAATCTTAATACCCATCAGAGGAGAGCCTGATTGTCCAGGGTAACACCAGAGTTTGGGGTCCACTTGTCCTACTTCAGGAATTTCCTTCTATTCTAGTGGCCTGCTTAAGAGCTAGCCCCTATCCTCAGTAAATCTGTTTCCCATATAAGACATAAGCTGAGTTTTCCTTTAAGTCTCATCATTTCTACTGTTGTCCAGTACTTAGTGGCATCTATATTAAGAAACACACGAGCCCTGCGTGGTGGTATATATCTATAATCCCAGCCCTCTGGAGGAGGTTGAGGCAAGTGGAAGATCCTGAGTTTAAGGCTAGCCTGGGCTATATCATGATATGTTGTCTCCCCAAACAAAACACAAAGCCTTATGAAGGAATGTGGACAGGTAGAGAACTAGAATTCAAGGTACTTGAATATATGCTATTGTCAGAAGGGCTAAATTTTATTCAGTATGTCTCCAAGTCACATGATAAAAATCATTGATGGAGGAAGGACGCCCTCCCCCCATTCATGATGGAGCTGTAATTTCCTTAAAATTGTCTCAGTTTAGTTCTGGGAGTTAGAACATCTCAGAACAAGAGCAGGCATTAGAGAGAAACAGAATGGCTTCTGTAAGTCTTAGGTCACAACTCAGTCCTCCATTTTTTTGCTACTGTTATTCTGTGTACTTACTCAGCTCTCTCTCCCCATCTCTCCTCAAGATAAATTAAAACCTTTCACGTGTTATAATATATCAGTTTATCCAGTGTTAGGACACCGAGTCGGAGAGCCATATTCAATCCAAGCTTATGCCAAAGAAAAAGGTATGTGTGGACCAACTTTGGGGGAAGGCAATCGGGTCTTGCAAGTTCAGATGCAGGGCTGTTTCAAGGCTCATTTCTACCACAACTTAATGTTCATCTTCAGCTGTGTGTGTTTGACACACTTGGGCCCAGGGTATAGAGTCACTTAATTTCAATGGTGGGTAAATATAAAGAGTTCAACAGATCCAGTCACTTCCCACTTTACAATGGGGAATTGAAGCTCACAGGGGAATTGAAACCCCTTGCCCAATATCACAACAAAACAGCAACTGAGGCTGTCACCAAATTTAACATTAATTAGGATTAATTTACGAAGCATACACATGTTAAAAATGACTCTCTGGGAGTGCATACATGTGTGTGTGCATGTTGATCATGGGTGTTTTGGTACACATGTATGAAGGCTAGAAGTGAACCTCACTTGTCATTTCTCAGAAGCTATTTACCTTGTTTATGTTTTGAGATTTCTCTCTGTGACCTGGGGCTTGCCCATTAGTCTAGCTGCCCATTGGCTGGCCAGTAATCCCCAGAGATCCGCCTGTCTCCACCTCTTCAGCTCTGATCTTATAACAGAGACCACCATGCCAGCTTTTTGCATGACCTCATGCTTTCACGGCAAGTCCCTTCCCCACTGGGCTATCTTGCATCCTTTCAGGTGACTTTTATGAGACAATAAGCAAGATATATTACTCATGCTTTATCCTTTTGGAAATGAGCATCTTCTAGATTCTATACTGGAAAGTGTCTCCTGCTGTATAAAGATAGGCCAGGGAAGTTAGTCTTCAACTGCTCATAGCTACACTTTACAGACAGGAATGAAAGCTGGGTGCTAAGAATGAGGGGGCTACAGGAAAGTACATTTTCTTGGGGCTTTGAAATTCCTTGTCTGACTGGGGAAGAAAAGCAATCTCTACGAACAAGTTTACTCTTCAGTCCCCCTTTCAACCTCCTTATCCCAACCCCAGCATTGTGGTTTTTGTCTGAACAATGGTAGCAACTCTAGGGCAGGGGTTGATCTTCTGGGGTGTGATTCAACCTTGGTAATTTTTTTATTATATTTATTTTTTTAATCAAATTGTAATTTTTACTTATTCACACAGGAGTTATAAACACAAAAAGGCAGGATGTGGGGAAGGGGATTACACCAGAGCGTAGGTGTTCAGGGGGAGTATAGATATCTTTCAGAACATGGTATCGGCTGGGTGAAGGTTCAGGGGACAGGTAACTATGATTCTGCCTGTGATTCACTTGTCCTTATCTAAGTTGGTATTGTCTGCCAAGGCTACCTATTTACAAGGTCTATGACTATTCAGGTGGTAAATTTCCATGAAAGCTGCCTGTTTACAACAGCTTATAGCCATCTGTTTCAGTGTTTATCCACAGAGACCCAAGACTTTGCATATATGACAGGCCTATTGCTGATTTTAGGCCTATGGCTGATTTCAGGCCTTCAGTGTATAAGCAGAGCTGCCCTTGACATCTCCTCCCTTCTCTAAGTATAGAAGGGCCATGGTGATTCTAATCTTGCTAAGGTAGGGATAGAAGCCTGTCCTCCAGTAATTGAAGAGGACCTTGTAATGGCTCCAGTCCCCCTGTTGTTGTCCAGTGAGGCATGAGAGCCATACCCATCCCAATGTCTTTTTCCTGGAGAAGGGATACTTTTGACATCAACCCCTATTCAGTCAGACTTGTCCCTCAGGGAACCCAGAGAGATATTTTTAACTTTTATTTATATTCCCTTGCAGTGCTTAGCCTCGCAGCCTAAGCAAGAATCCAGATCGCCAGTCAGAGGGGGTTCTGGGTGCTTGGTCTAGGGGCAGAAGTCCCGTCTTTTAGGTTGGGTGGAGATGGGTTTTGGGAACACCCTGGATAGAGTAACAACCTCATCTTGAGACTCGTGGTCCTCCATAGCTAACTTATGATAATATATCTGAATAGGTTTTGCTACCAAATTATTTATCTGTTGTTTCATGAAGTTAGCCTATTTAAGGCCCAGGGACCAAAAGAAATAAGCAAAAATAACCCAATTAATGGTCCCAAGATGGGAGGAAGTAGGGTTGACACCCATGGAGAGGTTGAAAACCAATTCTTGTGCCAGCTCTCATCTTTCTCTTTCTCTCTCTGTCTTTTCTCAGGGCCTTTTCTGATTTTTTTCATGTTCTCTTTAACCATCCCTGTCTTGTCTATATAAAAGCAACGTTCTTCTTTAAGGGCTGTACACAGTCAAGAGCTGTACACAGTCTTTTCTATTGTAAAAGAGTAAATCAAGTCCAATAAAGTCCATTGCAATTTTTGGAAATCACTTCAGACAGCAAAACGAGGGATTTCTTCAGATTAGTGATGTCAATCTCTAGCTGTTTGATATCCTTGTCAATGGCCCATCGAAAGTCTGAGTAGTATAAGTCCAGAGGCCAGCATCAGGATTAGAATTTCTAACAGCAGACATCACGGGTGATTCATTTTTACCTGAGATACTTCCCGGGTTAGAGCTCCTGGGAGGCCCGCTTCCTCTGGGTTTTGTGAGGTTGGGTACAAAGCTGCCACCTGGGATCTGCTTTGTGATCGGGCCCAGACCAGAAGTCCAATCGGTAATTTTTTTTTTTTTTTAATTTCGCTGTCCTCTGAAGCTCCATCAAAAGGTCCTGTTACTGGGGTGGAGAACATCGGTCTGAAGACAGCCACGATCACATGGAAAGAGATTCCCAAGGATATTAGAAATGGATTTATCAACAATTACACTATATTTTACCAAGCTGAAGGTGGAAAAGAATTCTGTAAGTGTGCACATGGCCAAGCTGAGCAAACTCAAGCCACCCCTTTGCTCCCCCATCCCCAGATGATGTGAATAGAGTTGACACAGAGGTGGCTCCCAGGACGGTGACCTGCACACTTATCCAAATACTTAGCTTCTTTGTACCTCTCTGAAAATAGAGCTCCAAGGGCACCACCTCATGAGTTGAAAAAGTGTAAAGGAGTCCCAAGGAGGAGGACTGGGAGGAGTTGATGTGATCTCTCTCCTGCTTAGTCAAAGAGAATGGGTGGGTCCCCTTGAACTTTTCCCACCATTGTTTTGGATGGGATCTGCCCATCTTAAAGAGTGGGTTCAGGCCTTGTTTGGTGGTACTTGTCTTAGTGCAGAGCTTTTTAAAGCATGAGTTCTACTGCTCATTGCCCAGGGTCCTTTATTTTTGAGTCCACAGTATCTTCTGACATCCTAAGCTCTGGCTTATGCTTTGATTCCCATTTAAGCTAAATTTGATTTTGTTACACATAATGTAAAACTTGGTACTAAATATTTGAAGGTGTATCGTTCAGTGGTCTTAAGAACATTTACTAAATTGTGTAATCACCACCCCTCTCTTCTCCCCTCCATGTGGAAGCTCTGTGTTCTTTTAATCAGTTGCTACCCAGCCCCTCCTCCTACAGCTTCCGGTAACTACCAGACTCTGTCTATAAATTGCCTATTTAGATTATTTCAAAGAAGTAATCATGGCTGAGGAGGCAGCTCAGAGCCCCAGCATGTACCTAGCATGCACAAGGCTTTGGGTTCACTGCAAATTAAAATAGGATAATCTTACAGCATGTGTTTTCCAAGGGGTATCTCATTTAGACAGCCTTTTCCCCTAGTCACTAATGATATCAAGCATTCTTTTATGTAGTTGTTGACCTCTTGCATATCTTCCTCAGAGAAATGTCTTATAACCTCTTCACCAATTTTAACATTAGTTTGTCTTCATAGTTTTGGGTTATGAGTTCCTTGTATTGTAAGTATAAGCTCCTTATCTAATATATGACTTACAAATATTTTCTTCAATTTTATAGACAATTATTTCAGTCCTGATACTGTCTTTTGATGAACAAAAGCTTCTTAACTTTAATGAAGTTCAGTTTAATATTATTTTAGGTAGTTGCTTGTATTTTGGGTATCATTTTTTAAAAAAAAAACACTCACAATTCAAAGTTGTGGTTTAGTTATTTGGGCTTTTGAAGAGTTTTATACTTTTATCTCTTATGTTTGGGTCATTGATCCATCCTGATGGACTTGTTTTAAACTGAAGTTGAGAAGCTAGAATCACAGATCAGGGCATCCTGGGTCAACGCTAATGCTCATTTTCAGTTTGACTTGCTGTACTATTCGGCTTCTATTTTTCCTTTCAGCCAAGACTGTTAACTCCCATGCCCTTCAGTATGACCTGGAGTCTCTGACACGAAGGACTTATTATTCTGTTTGGGTCATGGCCAGCACCAGAGCTGGAGGTGCCAACGGGAAGAAAATAAACTTCAAGACACAGTCAATCAGTGAGTACCAGCTTCAGGCCTCATTCTGCAGTTTACCTTGGGTTGGAAATGCCATTTGTCAGGAGCAAGGAAAGCCAGCAGAGGGCAGCAGAGTGTGACTTCTGCTCTCTCTGGCTCTCTCCCTCCCAGAAGATAAGCAATGAGGAGTTACTGAGGAGCTGGCAAAGGGAAGGCCGAGTTAGACAGACTGGTGGTCATTTTGATTCTTCCTCATAGGCAGCCTCAAATAATCTTAAAATGAAGCAAATAACATCAACTTCAGCCTCAGCCACGTCCAAGGCTGTTGCCTGAGCTTACACCAGTTCCTAAATGTCAAGACTTGTGCAATAGAACCTTGGAAGGAAAACACTGGTTGATCAAAGGTCACTAACAAGAGACTTAATGTTACCATCTGTGGCTGGGATTTTGTTTTGTTTGTTTGCAAAAAAAAAGATGTGTGTCTTCAACTTATCAGCTTTTACATTGAAAACATGAAAAGCAAGACAAATTTGCTAGATATAACAAAAAATGTGAAATATAATAGTTTCATATGGTGGTTGGTTCAGGAAGATATTTAATGGGAGAGCTGAAGATGGGTAATAGACAAAGAAAAAGGAAGAAGAAAGCTAGCCTGGTCTACAGAGTGAGTTCCAGGACAGCCAGGGCTATACAGAGAAACCCTGTCTCAATCAATCAGCCAACCAACCAACCAATCAAAATTCAAAGCAACACTGACAAGTTTTGCAATAACTACTATAAGCCAAAAAAATGTCTTCTTGATGCATCTCAAAAGCCTCTTGTTATTTATATTCCTGAAGAGTAAAGTAGACCATGGCTCTGAAAACCATGAGCAGGACATGGGGCTTTACACAGAAAACATGTTCTGCTCTGCAGCCTAACACTGCCTTCTTGGAATTCTTTTTGATACTACTTCTAAAATTCTATTACTTAGGATTCTCTAGGAGAACAGAACTGGTAAGGTATACACGATTGGAAGCTAGGTTTTCCAGCCGTGGCATTCACCGTGCTGCCAAAGCAGAGACTCTGGTAGCTGCTGAGTCTTAGAAATCTGAATCTTTAGAACAGGAGTAGGGGTTAACGATTCAGTCCCCATCTAAAGCTGGAGCCTGGATGCTCTCTGCAGAGTTGCTAGGGTGAGTCTGTGTCCAAAGGCTGGCTAAGCTGAAGTGGGAAATCTGTGGGAAATGGCCACAGCAATGTTCGTGCTCAGGAAGAAAGGAGCTTGGGTTCACTGACCCTCTTTCTCTTTTTTGACTTTTAGCCCATCTGGTGGTATTGCCAGCCTATCAGATGGTATTGCCAGCCTATCAGATGGTACTGCCAGCCTATCAGATGGTATTGCCAGCCTATCAGATGGTATTGCTAGCCTATCAGATGGTACTGCCAGCCTATCAGATGGTATTGCCAGCCTATCAGATGGTATTGCCAGCCTATCAGATGGTATTGCCAGCCTATCAGATGGTATTGCCTACATTCAGGGTGGACCCTCCCCTAAGTGTTCTCCCATATCAGTCCTCTGGATTCACCCTGAAAGACACACGATAGCACGTATTTACCATTCTGTAGGTATCTCTTAGTCCAGGCAAATCGACAAGTCAAAGATTACCTGTCAAAGTTTATTGTGTGAGTTTTTCTACCCCAGGACATATGAACCATGTGAGTAATGATCTGATATTTTGCTTATTTGTTTTATCTCTCAGAATAATGGCTAGCTAATAGTTATGCTAATACGTACTGATTAAAGGGATGAAGTTGGAAGATGTCCCTGGCAAACCCAGTATCTATCAGTTCATAATTTGTAATATTTGAAGATGTCAGTGCAACCCATTATTCTGTATAAGTAAAATATAATACAAAAGAAAATATATCAATATCTGTCATGTTGTATAGGGAGAGGACAGCTAGATAGGAAACCAAACTCCCAGTGGTTTCAATAGAAACAAATTGTATTTATATAAGAAATTAATGAGAAATGCTGCTAAAGAAAAAAGAGAAAGAAAAGCTAAAAAAAAAAAGTTAATATTTGATTTTTGTCAAAGAGTCACAGAACTTTACTGACAACAGTATTTTTTTCTCTTTGTCACAAAGGTGTCTTTGAAGTTGTCCTTCTAATATCTCTGGTTGGAGGAGGCCTTCTTCTACTTAGCATCAGAATGGTGACTTGGGGTCTTAGAAAGCCAAAGTGAGTTCATAATTGACAACGAATGTCTTAAAAATCAGCAGTAGGGTGCCATCATGGCGCCTGGGGTGAGCGGGAACCCTGCCCCCCCCCCACCAGGGAGGGCTGCACATTCATTCATTCATTTGCTCCATATGTATGAGAATGATTAAAGGCCACACCCTCAGACTCATGAGGAATCCCACAAACGAGAAGACATGTGTGCAGGTCTGTACACCAAGTCCAGATTCTTCCGAGGCCAAGGGAGTGCTACCTGCCCTATAAGCTCTGTCTGCCAATGTCCGTCCTGTGAGGCTGGAGCAGAAAGGAAACTGAGCCCTGGGTCTTAGCTACCTGGATGAGGGCACAGATCTGTTCTTTATGATTCAGAGTTAGGGGGGCTGGCCTCAGGCATGTTTGTCCTCCCTGCTCTTGTCAGTGTGGGGACACTTGTCTTGGGCATCTTGTATTTCTTCCTTCAGTGAACCTTTGTCTGCCTCAGTGTTCCTTCTTGGTAAGGTGCTCTACACTGGCCCTTGTGACCCTTCTCTGCCCAGCAGCTGGGCTTCATTTGTTGACTAAGCTAATGTCAAGATCAATCACCATCAATATACTGGAGCCAAGTCACAGCACGAGTTTTTGTACATCGTATTCTTCAGTAATCGTCTTCAATCTAGACACATGTCAGAAGTAGATCACACCCCAAGGGTTTCTGACTCAGAGTTCTGGGATAAAGACTAGGAATGTGTACTTTGATTAGTAGGTGGTGATGGTGCTGAAGTTGGGAACTTACTTTGGGAACACTATGCAGAAGTGTGGGTAGTTAGTGCATCAACTGCTCCTGAGAATATAGTTGCCAAGAGTGACTGTAATGCAGTTTCCAACATCAAGACCAGGGTAGAGATACGGGGGTGATAGAGAAAGGGAGGTAAGGATATAATATGTCCCACAGACAACTGCTTCCTATTTCCTGCCAGTGTGGATGTTTACTCTTATTGAATTGAAAGCTGGGCAGTTACCTTCTGTCTTGTTTATTTTCCATTGCTGTGATAAGACATCATGAACAAGACAACTTATAAAGTTTTATTTGAGATTTACAGTTTCAGAGAGTTAGAGTCCATCCATGACCATTACAGTAGAGAGAATGGCAGCAAAAAGGCTGGTTTGGCTCTGGAGCAGTAGCTGAGAGCTCATACTTTGAGGCACAACCATGAGACAGACAGAGATAACTGGGAATGAGTGGGCTTTTGAAACTCCCAGGCTTGTTCCCAGGGACACACCTCCTCCTACAAGGCCACACCTCCTAATCCTTCCCAAACAGTTCTACCAACTGGGAACTAAGAATTCTAACATGAGCCTGTGGGGGCTGTTCTCATTCAAACCAACAAGACCCTTCTTGAGTAGTAGTAAACCTTCCCCTTAGGTTAGCTATGCACTATGCATGGATCATGTCCTGAACTCACCTCCTCTCTTAAAATCTCCTTTTAACAGCCGATTGACTCGCCTGTGCTGTCCTGACGTTCCCAACCCTGCTGAAAGTAGTTTAGCCACATGGCTGGGAGACGACTTCAAGGTACACATTACTGGGTTTTGTCCAGGAAATTGTACAGACTGACTTGGGGAGGAGGCCCAGATGGATGGGAACGAGAGAGGCTTTACCCAACGTTCACAGAGAAAGAACTGAAAATCTAAAAGTCCCAGGGCACAGCTGAATGGACAGATGGAATCAGCCTTCCTACTGTGACTTCCACCTTGTACTCTGGATTGAAGGGAAGACCCTCACAAGGGTCTGATATATCCCTACTCCCATAGAAGTGATCCTGTAAGGATACCATGGAAGAAGAATGATTTCACAGATTGGTTTTCTGATGGGGAGGAAGAGGGCCTGATTGCCACCTCTGAGGTCATTTAAAAAGCAGCCAAGAGCAAATTAATCTGGGGGGCTGCTCAGAGACATGGCAGTACTGGGGGAAATGGCAAGCCGAAGGCAACTTTGAACGTATTTCTCCAATGGCAGGTGTTATTGTTTAATTAGCAGTAGGGTTTCCTGGTGTATTTTTTTCTCAAGTAGAAATCCTCTATTTAAGAATATTTTTTAAATAGGAAACTTGAAAAGTGTCTAACTTATGACTTCCCCCTTAAGTGGAAATCAGCCCAGACAAATGTAGCTCTGAGACCGCTTAGTATTAAAGGTCCTTCTTCAGGTTGGCCTCAATGCAAGAATTTAAAACATTAGATTTTTTCTTCAACTTAGCATTTTTTTTTAAAAAAAAAAATGGGCATTTTTGTAATAATGAGCTCTGGTTTTGTTCCCTCCTTCTCTTCACTTCTGTTATATTGGCCTTTTTGCTCTCCTATTTATTAAGCTGAAAAGACATGCTTTCAATAGTCTGCAGGACAGTCCTCTATAGCATGTTCTGTTTAATTGCAAACTGTACACCAAACACTGGACCAGGTTGGCAGGAGACAAAGATGACAGAGACCTTTCCCTGTCGTGAGGCCAAATTAGATTTTTTTTTTGGTGGTGTCTTTTGCCTTTACAGCTTTTCCTAAAGCTTCTGAGACGTCTCCCCTGGAGTTTTGTAAATATGGTCAGGAAAATAGCCTTGAGCTCTCTTAAAGGATTGTGGGCCTTTGGCAGCTGTTCCTCGGGAACTGGAGCACCGGTGCCAAGCTCCAGAGGAAGTAGCTGGTCACTGTCTGGACCAGGGAGCAATGCGGGGGCTATGTGAAGGGTAGGGTTTCTATGTCCCAAATCTAATGTTTCGTCTCAGTCATTTGCACTCCTTACACGACCCCTGGGGTGTCCCCTTTTCTCTTTTGTAGAAGTCAAACATGAAGGAGACTGAAAACTCTGGGAACACAGAAGACAGGGTCGTAAAACCATGTCCTGTCCCCGCTGACCTCATTGACAAGCTGGTAGTAAACTTTGGGAATTTTCTGGAAATAGTTTCAACAGAGGAAGCTGGAAAGGGTCAGGAGAGCATTTTGGGAGGAGAGGCGAATGAGTATGTGACCTCCCCATCTAGGCCTGACTGTCCCCCAGGGAAAAGTTTTAAGAAGCCCTCAGTTTTAAGTGAGGTTGCTTCTGAAGACTCTCATAGCCAGTGTTTGGGAATGGCAGAAGAGGCATACTCAGAATTTGACAAGCAACCTCCGTCTTCCTGTCAGAGTCCAGGACTAGAGCCACCCTGTGAACAGCAAACTCAGAATCCGTATCTGAAAAATTCAGTGACAACCAGGGAGTTTCTTGTACATGAAAGCATTCCAGAGCACAGCAAGAGAGAAATCTAAGTGCTGCCGTGGTGAGAAACCCTCAGAGACTGAATGGATCTCTTCCCTAGAAAAGACACTGAGACTTCTTGAAGCCTCCTTTGACCCCTCCCTGTTGAGTTTGCTGCTTAGCTGCCCAGAAGTTGGTGACACAGATGTCGATTTATGCCAGGAAGAATGGAATGCTTTATAGGGAAAAGGAAGTTACTTTCTTCTGTGCACTCTCACAGAGGCCCCTTGAAATGATGGCCTTGAGAGAAGGGCTCAGCTTCAGAACTTAAAGGACCCCCAGGTGGACACGTCAGATCTTATCCCCTGGAACCAAGATGTCCTGGCCATTGCTGAAGCTACCCTCAGAGCCCAGGACAGCTGTTTCGTTGGTGCTTGACTCTGGCAGGAACCTGATCTCTACTCTTCCTCTCCCTGTCTCTGCACACTTCCTCTCCTTCACAGAGGCCAGGAGTAGAGTGGATTTCTAACGGGATGCCAGGCTCCTCAGTCTTTGCTCCGTCTCAGGGTCTTCAACAATGCCCTTTCTGGGACTCTTCATCACCCACTTACATTTATTTTTACAACGTTGGGGCTTGAACCCAGGGACTTGTTGTTTATGCTAGGCAAGTGTTCTATCCATCCCTCTCTCCCCAAGTTTATTGTACATTGACTGCTGCTAAATCAAGACATTCCAGAAACCTCCAGTAAGACACTGGCATGGACTGTGGGCTAGGTAGCAGGTCAGCGTCCTTTGTCTTGTGCTATACCTGGTAGGAGAAGACACCAAGCAAGGTGCTCGGTGGCTTTCGTTCAGAGACACTGACTCACACTGGCTTAGAGACCAGGAGTGCTTACTGAGCAAACCCTAAAAGGGCCTCTTCCAGGCTTCCTTGAGCAAGGCCTGGTAAGATGTAGCACTTGGCAACTTTATGGCTGTCTTATGAGGACCTCTGCTCCATTGCTATAGCCAAGCACAGAGCTTGTGACAAGAAGGAGCCTTTGGCAGAAGTGCCGAACATAGGATTTATATGCTTAGGCCTGGGGAACTGTGTGGCCACACACAGTGGGCCAACCTCTGGTCCCTTTATCTTGCTTTCAATCTTGGGAAGTGACTTTAAAACAAAACAAAACACGGGCAATTTGATCCCAGGGTCCGCTGCGCCTCTGAGCTCTCCCTAGAATTTCTGACTGGGGAGGCTCTGGCCCAGCCTTCTCTCTTGGCCTGAGGAGAGACAGCCAAGGACACTCTCACACCTCCAGCTAGGGGAATCTCAGACTCCAGGTTGGTTAGAGGAGCGGGCAGAGCCTCAGAAGACATGATAAGGCTTTGGAATCTAAAAATCCTTGAACAGTGGGGGTCTGGGTGGGGAGAGAACAGAAACAACCTCCCAACACACACACACACACACACACACACACACACACACACACACACACACACACACACACACGGCTCCCAGAGCTGATACTGATGCCCTCTGCCTGCCCTGCTAGATTACGGATGCCAGAGGCATCTTGGCTGCCTTTTGCACCTGCTGCCCTGCCCCTTCCCCTTTCCTTTTAGGCTCCTGACTTCCCTTCTCCTCAGGTCTATCTCTCCACGTCTCCTTTTCACTTCTTTCTCCCTTTCTCAGCCTTCTTGTGGCATGCCCCAAATTTACCTTTGCTGCCGTTGATGAGTAGGATGGTCGAAGGCCCTGTGCTGTCCCAGGTGGGCTTTGTGGTGGTCCCATCAGAGCACTCTAAGGAGGGCTGGGTTTTCCTTTCACACTGAGTACTGCAGGTGGACTCACAGGATGCAGGCTCAGAGGCCATGATGGCTTCCCCTCCTGGATCAACTAGTCTCTGCACCAGGCGTTGCCTCTGTGGGTAAAGAAGGCCATTGGCATTTTCTCTCTTTACTGTAAAAGAAAAGGGACATTGGGAGGACTCAGAGAAGTCATTAAGTGGCAAAGTCAGTAAGAAATTATGAAATTCATGGTAAAGAGCTTTGTGGGGCCTTGGAAACCACACAAACATCTAGATTAATGCCATCAATGGTCTTTTATTTTCAATAATAGCAAAAAATAGGGGCTGGGGAGATGGCTTAGAGGTTTAGAGCAATGGCTGTTCTTCCAGAGGTCCTGAGTTCAATTCCCAGCACACCCATGGCAGCTCATAACTGTCTATAATGGGGTCTGATGCCCTCTCCCGGTGTTCAGGCATGCATTCAGGCAAAGCACCCATATACATAAACTAAATAAATCTAAAAAGAGAATACAACATTAAAGGATGGTGGAGAACCCGATCTGTTCTTAGCAGAGAACAGAGACCAAAAAGCAATGTTTTCCTTCTGGCATCCCAGGAGGCAGTGTCACAAGGAACCCTGCAGTATGGACCCCACAGGGGTTCAGTGGGGCTGGAGGCTGGGGGGAGGGAAACTGCAAGAAAGGAACTGTAGTGAGGACCCCTCTCAATGCCTTGCAGCCCAAGCCAGAGCACTGTCTCCAACCTATCTCCTTATTAAATTTGTAAGTATAGCAGATGCTAGGTACCCTGTAGCCCAGAGGTCTCAGACAGCACCTCTCCTCAGACCAACCTAGGTGCTGTTTGTATAGGTCTATGAGCAAATAACATTATTGGCATTTTTAAATGGTTAAAAACAAAATTCAAAGGACACATACCATTTTGTGATGTGAAAAGTGTACAAAATTTCAATGCTTGCAAATAAAGCTTAATGCCAGTGTCGGGGTTGACCATACCTCACTTACATATTATCTGTGGCCAGTCCATCCCCACCTACCCAAAAACAACTTCAGTACCTGTGGTAAAGACTTAGGACTGGAGATCTGGCCCTGTGCAGAAGGTTTGTGGACATCTGCTCCTGTGTGAGCCTCAAACGACATTGTCTTAACTCTGAATCAGCTTCTAAATTAATAAAATAAAAACCAAGAAACTGAGAGGTGGCTTAGTAAGTAAGAGTGTTTGCTGAGCAAATATGAGAACCTGAGCTCAAATCCCCGGCATCCACATAAAAAGCTGGGCATCAGCAGGTGACCTTGTAACCTCGGGATGTAGGGGCTGGAGACAGGAGGATTGCTCAAGGAAATAACATAAAGAAGGACACTAAGCCTCCCCCTCTGACTTCTAAGCACATACATACATACATACATACATACATACATACATACACACACTTTCTGGGTTTCTTGTTGAGTGCCTTCCTCCTGTAAAAGAGCACACACTCAATGTTCCCCAGCCCTTACCCTTTCCTGTCCCTGCCCAACCCTGTGGAGAGTTGGTGGCTGTTTGCCACCTGTACTGGCTGTTCTCAACCAGTGTTCATTTTCCCTCCCACCTCCAACATCACACAGATGAGCAACGCCTGGAGATGCTTTGACTGTCATGGCTGGGAAGGGTGCTACTGGCATCTAGTGGGCAGCAGCCAGCAATGCTAAACTCTGCCTACTATGCACAGCCAGCCTCCCAGCTAAGGACTGCAGGTCTCCACATGCTTGCATGCTGAGCAGTGTAAGACACTGCTTTAGTCAACAGGGTTGTGCTGAACATCTTTTTGGCATAAAGAACGACTATAATAGACATCTTTGTTCAAAATATTTTTCTTACCTTTGTCCTATCTACTTGGGGATGCTTACAAAATTGGATTTGCTGTGGATTTTGTGATCACATCTTGCCTGATACAACCTCAAAAGGCTACAGTGACTTTCGGTGTTAGCAAGGAATGCCTGAGGGAGAGTTTGTCCTTTTCCACTGACAATCGCCTATTCCCTGCTGCGTGCTTGATTTTGTTCCTCTTAATTCTTTGACGTGGATGTTAACTGTCATGATGCCTATCCATACCCAGTCATTCGGAAGTGATGATGTTTTGCACTCTTAGTGTGCGGATCTGAGGGAATGGAGCCTAGCAGAGAATATTAGAGATCCTCACTCCCGCTGCAGTGGGGTCAGTTTGGCCGAAGCGCAGACAGCACCAGTCCATGTTGGAACCGCCCAGAGGCCACAACTGCCCCTCTGTATTGAGGTCTGTGTGCACAGTCCTGGCCAAGGCACCTGCCCTGAGATACTGAGAAGGATGTAGAGGAAAAACGAAGGCAAGGACAAAGCTGCTTGAGCAGGGCCTCCCAGGGTCCTTCAGAGGAGGTTGGATGCATATGCTACCAATTTTAGACATGGGATCTTTTGTCTTTCCCAAGTTCAGTCAGTGTGTGGATGGGAGTAAGATGGGAGAGAACTGTCCTGAAGCCTAGGCTTGAAATAGAAATAAAAATCTGCAAGCCAAAACCAGCACAGAGTTCCAAATGACTGCAGCGACACAAAACAACAGGCCTGTGTCCCCTGAGGCTGGGCATGCTCACTGCTCCACAGATTTATTATGTGTCTGGGTAATTACGACATGAATGGGAGCTGTGTGGTGCAGGGTGGGGATGAAAAATGTCACTATTGCAATGGGAAGAGCTTCCCAGGGTCTTTGTTGTCAACACATTTGTACTTTGACCATCCATGGAAAGTTATAAAAGCACCTTTATAATATTCTGTACTTCTCCCGTTTCACCTACTTCATTTTCCCCCAACATAATATCTTTATTACTTGGGAATCTCACAGCATGCACCCCATTTCACTTCCCAGTACATCCAGGTCTGCCTCCCCACCCTTGTGACCGCCCTGCCCCCCAAATAAAATAAGTCCAGTTTGTGTTGTCTATGTACTCGCTGGAGCGTGGTCAAACTCCCGGTGGCCTGCCCCTTAAAGAAAACTGAGTCCTTCCCCACCCGCACCCCCACCAGAAGCCATCCATTGTGGTGAGCTACACTTCAGCATCTGTATCACAGTCTTTAAAAGTTCCCTTCCATGGCTTTCTTGTCTAGGTTGATAGTTCCGGGTGGGGGAGGGGTTGTCACAGAAGCCTTCTATGTCCCTCTTTCTCAGCTCTGGGTCTGCAGTCATCAATATGACTTCAAAATCAAATGTAGCTTTCTTGCCCTCTACAGTCAGTGTGAGAATGAATCGTGGACTCTCACATGGTTTCTAGGGACAGCACAGATCACAGGTGCCCACATGGTCTCCAGCATCATGCACGAGCCACCGACCTCAGCATGATCTCTGGTGGCAGTTCAGACCACGGACATCAGCACTGCCCTCTGCTGCAGCATGGCCCTCTGCGGCAGCACAGACCAGGGACATCAACACATAGCTTCAGGTGGCAGCACAGACTATGGGAGTCTGCCTGGCCTTCAGTGGTAACACGGCCTAAGGTGGCAGCACAGGTCATTCACATTAACATGGCCCCTGCAGCAGCCCGGCCCACAGACACTAACATGGACTCCTGCAGTAGCACAGGCTACAGCCGTCCACCTGGCCTGCACAGGCCTTGACTATCTCCCTGTTGTCAGTGCCGGCCACCAGGCACGACTTTTGTGCTTGCAGCCTGCTGGCTGAGACGAGGTGGTCAAGCGAAGAGATTCATCATTCTCTGCTGCACGCAGTTCTCTTCTGCCATCTTCCTGTTCCATTTTCTGGATCCACTTCTGAAAAGCCTCTCTCCATAAGACCTCCATTTTACTTTTCTTAGTGAAGACCCCCGCAGAGGGGAGACCCTCACTCAAGTCTCAGAAAGTCAAGACCACCCAGTAATATGACCACCCAGTAATATGCTCGAGACACCGTGAACCGGAGCAAAAGCGAGGTTTATTCGGGCATGTGACAGCTAGCTGCCGGTCAATTCGTATGCCCATGCAGGAGCTGAATTGACCCTGACAGCCAGTTTGAGAGGGGTTTTTAAAGGGAAAAACCACAAACCAAGGAATGGGGAGGGGGATGAGGGGTTGCTAAGGTGGCATAACATAAAAATAGAGGAACATTCCAAAGGAACCCAACCTTCGTGAGTCAGGGTCATGTGAAAACTCTCTGTATGCTAATCTTTCTCAAGAATGTGGTCCTGCCCTGTCACTGTGGCCTTGCCCTGTCACTGCGGTTACCAGCTTGGTTCTCAGCTTGGTTCCACCTAGCTCACCTGTATTCTTTCCTTTCTCTTTGCGGTTGGCCAGTTCCAGTAATGGTGACTGGTCTTTCCACATTCCTAACTTGCTTCATGGCTCGGTTTCTCAGAAAATTTTCCATGTCCTTATAAAGAAAGCCTAAAGAATATTTTATATGTCTAAAAAGGATTCTATATACCCAGTATCTATAATTTTTCACTCTACATCAGTTGTCCTGACACTGTTGTGGGTTCAGTAGACCCCTTAACCGCAGCTGCGTCACCCTTCAGAGCCCCCATGGGTCTCTCAGTCTCCTTGGAGCGCGGCTGCAGCCACCTGGGTTTTCTCCACCTACTTTTTTATTCTTTAATCTGTAAATCTGGCCAGGTATGATGGTGCATGTCATTAATTCCAGTACTGGGAGGCAGAGGCAGGAGGGTTGCAAGTCTGAAGCCAGCCTGGTCTACACAGAAAGACAGCTATGATTCCCGAGCGTGGACACACAGAATGAATAGTGATTGGGGCCTGTGGTGGTCAAGGGAAAGAATGCTTGATGACCAGGACTCTCTAGGTCACCATTTTCTTTGTTCCTCCTGCCCAAAATCCATCTACTCCAGAGTCTCTTTTTCTTTTTTCTTTTCCTTTTCTTTTTCTTCTGCTCTCTCTCCTCCCTCCTTCTTTCCTTCCCTCCTCCCTCCATCCTCCCCTCTCCTTATTTCCCTTCCTCCCTCCCTCCCTCCCTCCCTCCCTCCCTCCCTCCCTCCCTCCCCCTTCCCTCCCCCTCCTTCCCTCCCTCGCTCCTGCCTCTCCTGTCCACTCTGATCCCACCGAAATCTTTAAACTTCTAGCTCCCTGGTTCCCCTGTAGTTCTCACTTTTTCTGGTCCTAGCTGATGACACTGCACCCATATCGCTGACTTTGAGCCAACAGCCAGTCTCTTTATGTTTAGATCAGGTTCCTGGGGAAGTCTCTGGGTGACAATTCAGTCTGCATCGTCCTCAGGCTCAGGACCCTCCTCCAGTCTCTTGTCAACTCCTTCCCTCTGCCTCTAAACAGGCTTGCTCAGGCCTATGACAACTTAAAGAGAAGATCTAGCTCTTGGGTCTTCATGGCTTCCAGCCACCTTACCACCCTCCTCAGAGGCCAGGCTGAGGCTTAACACACACCCTGTCCCATCCAGCCACCTGACCACCCTCCTCAGAGGCCAGGCTGAGGCTTAACACACACCCTGTCCCATATAACAGGTTCTTCGGGTGTCTGGCCAGTTTTCACGGTAGCTGTTTTTTGTAGAGAAAGAATCACTTTGCTGGAACTTTCTAGAGGGATAGAAAGCAAAACTCAAATATCGGGTAAATAGCCAGCCATTTTCCAAGGTGTAATACCTCATATACCACACACAGCAATCCCACTGTAAACTCTGGCTACATTCTTTCATTGCTTTGTGATAAAGGCTAATGTTACAGCTATTACTTTTGCCAGACTCTGTGCTGGGGTTTTGTGCACCTCTCTGGGAATCTGCTCAACCCCTTGTTGTGAGAAAACAAAGCATCATTGTTAGAGATGCCAAGCAGCCCTGAGAGGTTAAGGGGTGTGGCCTGGGTTGTGTGACTTGGAAGTGGTGAGTTGACTACAGGCCTCTGACTGACTGCTTTTGTATAGTAGGAGGAGTTTTAGGTGTTCCTAAAATACAAAAGCATTAAATGTCTGGGGTGATGATAAGGCTGGTTATACTGTCTGATCATCTCAGATTGTATCCATAGAAATGTGCTTCTGTACAATTTCTAAGAAAGTCTATTAGAAAGAAAGAGGAAGGAGGGAAAGAAGAAGAAACAGCTTGATGGGGGGGAGGAAGAGACTGATGGGGTGGGTCCTTTAAACCAATGATTCTCAACCTTCCTAATGCTACGGCCCTTTAATACAGCTCCTCAGGTTGTGGTGACCCCAACCATTAAATTATATTCGT